AAAAAATACTTCAGTAGAACAAAGGTCCAAGAATATGAGAAGATAACTCACAAAATAAGGAGTACATGAGGCTAAAAAGTTTAAAAATAGTTTAGTTTCACTAGTGGTAAAGGGAAATGTATATTAAAAGAATCCACATATTAAATCAACAAAGGGTTTTTGCTGTTGTTTCTTTTCTTAACAACAAAGCTAATTGTTAGTGAGGAGCAGAAAAAAATGGATCCTCCTACAAACTTCTGGGAAAATGTAAACTGATGGCAATATTTTTGGACGTCAACATAACAACATAGGTATTAGGTGCTATTAGAAAAAAAATGCGTAGTTTCTGACCCAGCAGTTCCACCTCTAGGAATATACAGAAAATACTTGTGCCTCATAATGTTAGCGCTTCATGCTAAGATAACTTATCAGCACAAAAATCAGACTTGAAACCCTTAAAAGGGGGCCTGATACGTTGTATCCACGGGGATGGAATATTTAATGACAGTTCAGTATCATGTTAAAGTTCTGGAAAAGGCAAATGGGCGGGGATGGGATGGTTGCCAGGAGGGGGGACGGGATGACTCCAAAAGAGCCTGAGAGAATTTGGTGGAGTGGCCGGGCATGTAAAAAAATGGTCTGTATCAGAGCTGTCAAAGTCACCCAGACCCATAGAAGTGTACACTAAAAGGGTGAATTTAAACTTGTGTAAATGACATACACCTTAATAAACTTGACTTTAAAAAAATCTTGTTGAGGAATATTAAACAACCTGGGTAAATCTAAATGGTTGATTAACTAAAGTGGGTAACTTGCAAAGCGGAGTGTGACGGGAACTTGGCAGGTAGTGGAGGGGGTGTTTACATATTCAGGCTGGAAGGAAAAGTGCCAGAATGTATTATGTTAGTGTCTCTCTGGAGGTGAAATTAAACACCGGTTTTCTCCTTGTATCTTGTTCGTTATTTTTATTTATTTATTTATATTTGCAGCTTTGTTATTGGCGGGTTGGAGTCGGGGGCGGCGTTACAGGAATTTGGGAGCACGGCCCACGGGCTACGGCTTTCCAGCGCTTTTCTCTGCGGTGGATCTGTCGATCCGGGACCGGCCAGCAGGGGAGCGGGGGCGGTGCCCGGGCGAGAGCGGCGTGGGGAGGGCGGGGCCTGCGTCTTACTGGGCAGAGTACGGGCGTATCCCTGTGGGATGGAGGAGGAAGGAACACCCCAAGAACGCTGTCATTTCCTGGGTCGAGTTGGAACCCGGACGGCCTCACCATGATGAGTGAGTCTTGCTTCCCCAGGGGGCGGGCGGGCTGGGAGCGGAGCAGGCCTTCCCGACCCCAGCCCTGGAAGAGACGGGAAATAGCTCCGTTCCCTGATTCCATTAACCGGCTGATTACTGACTCCCTCCCTCTCTCTCCCTTTTCTTCTCTCCCTTCCTTCTCCCCCTCCCCTCTGCCTTCCCCTGGCACTCCCTCTAGAACAGGCAGCTGCTGCTGCAGTGGGTGGAGGTAAGTTACCTGGATCGATCGCTTCTGACTCTGGACCCTCACCTAGCCTGGTCCGGGGGTGCTGGGAGACCGCAGAGATGACGCGCTGAGCTGGCTCTCACCCCCTTACCCTCCACTCCCGAAGCTGCCTGAGCAGCATCAAGATACTCCAGGGAAAAGCTCCCTCCCATTCCAGCCCCAGCTTCTCCTCTAGTCCTTATATAGGATAAGCGTAGAAGGAAGATTTCGTTTGAAAGAGGATTTGTAGCTAAACTCCACATGGCTCTTTTCACATTTATGTTCGGACACACACACACACACACACACACACACACACACCTAGAGACCCAATGAAGGACACACACACACACACACACACACACACACACACACACCCCTAGAGACCCAATGAAGGGTATTGACTTTCACCGCATCACACAGCAAGTTAGAGACAAACCAGGGCTATGCCTGGCCTTCCTATGACGTCTTTTCCTCGCCTGGTTCCACACTCACCACCTCTTCTTCACCATGAGACCCCGAAGCTGCCGTCTTCCTATTGCTAAAGCTGACAGTCCCCAGAAACTGTCAAGGAATTCCTAAGGGGAGGGTTCCCTTCTCCTGAGCCCATCTCTGCACCCAGCCCACCCAGCTTCTCTCCCCTGAGCCCACCCAGCTTCTCTCTCCTGAGCCCACCCAGCTTCTCTCTCCCCACAGCCCTGGCAGTGGGGGCTGTGCCCGTGGTGCTCAGTGCCATGGGCTTCACTGGGGCAGGAATCGCCGCGTCCTCCGTAGCAGCCAAGATGATGTCCGCAGCAGCCATCGCCAATGGGGGTGCGATTTCTGCGGGGAGCCCGGTGGCTATTCTGCAGTCGGTGGGTAAGTGTCCTGGACGGACCACCAGAGCTGGGAAAAGACAGCCTGAGGCTGAGCCCAAGGGAGGCCTTCTCCTTGCCCTGCAGTTCTGTGACCCTCAGCTTCCTGGATCTTCAGTCTCTCCCTCACTGTCCCCTCTTCTGGCTCCTTCTGAGTGAGGTTTGGGGTGGGAGTGGAGGAGTGATGGGGTGCTGGGTAGGGAGAAGAGGAAGGGAACCCAGGCCAGAAGTGATGCCTGCGCACTTTCACCTGGGTGACCTGGGCAAGGTCCCCTGCCCTCTCTGGGCCTCAGTGGCCTCCTGTGTAAAGTGAACACACTGTAGCTCTTGGGGTCTGTCTGTGGATGACTCTCCGCCTCTCAGTTACCATGAATTCACCCCTGACTTGTCTTTTAGCTGCCTCTAGCAGCCTCTACCCAAAGCAGGGCACCGGGGTTTTCAGGACGTGAAGGGGGGATCTGGACGGGATTTCTGGGTCACTGCCCGTCCCCTGTCCTCATTCATTCTGTCTCCTCCCCAGGGGCATCTGGACTCTCCACATCATTCAACGTCCTCCTGGCCTCTATTGGGTCAGCGATAGGGGCCTGCTTGGGGAGAAGGAGATGAGGCAAGAGAAAATGTACCCCAAGGTGAACCTCCAAAACCCCCACTCAAGTCAGAGAAACATGAGGAATAAAGGTCACGTGCAGATGCGCCTCACTGTGTTTGCTTCTTGCAGCTCTGTTTGGAGTTCTGAACTGGAGGCTGCCAGTTCTCCCCACCTCCCAGCCTGCCTTGTCATGGAGGGGCAGAGGGAGGGCTTAACCTTGCACAGCATCGGTAAGCAGAAGGCTTTGGTTGGTCTCAGCCTTACAAGGATGGGCCGTATGACCCAGGGCCATTCATGGGCCTTCTGTGGGCCTCAATTTCCCCCTTATTCAGTGTTGGCACTGTCACAGGTTCCTGGTGGGAGCGGGTGAGGGGTAGCCAGGGCACTTCAGGAGCCACTGACCGCAGAGCCCTCTGTTCTTCTTCATTAATGACACTAGACACCCAGAATGAACAAGACACAACCTTGCCTTGCCCAACCTCAAAGTCTGTCAGAGGCTGACAAGCAAGCCAGCAGAAAGAGATAGTGCCAAGTGTTATATTCGGGCTCTGGGCACTTTGAGGGAGGAGGCTGTCAGGAATGGTCACCAAACCGTGTCTGGAAGATTGAAGGAGAGGCTGAGTTCATGTGTGAAGACCTGGAGCCCTGACCACACCCTCACTGTGTTAGTCTGTTTTGGGTTGCAATAAAGGAATACCTGAAACTGGGTAATTTATAAAGAAAAGAGGCCAGGCCCAGTGGCTCACGCCTGTAATCCCAACACTTTGAGAGGCCGAGGCGGGCAGATCATGAAGTCAGGAGTTCAAGACCAGATGGGCCAACATAGTGAAACCCCATCTCTACTAAAAATACAAAACAATTAGCCAGGCATAGTGGCAGGCACCTGTAATCCCAGCCTCATGAGGCTGAGGCAGGAGAATCGCTTGAACCCTGGAGGCGGAGGTTGCAGTGAGTCAAGATGGCGCCAGTGCTCTCCAGCCGGGGCGACCGTGTGAGACTCCATCTTAAAAAAAAAAGAAAGAAAGAAAAGCAGCCTATTTGGCCCACAGTTCTGCAGCCTATACAAGAAGCATGGTGCCGGCATTTACTTCTGGTGAGAGCCTCGGGAAGCTTACAATTGCAGAAGGGGAAGGAGGAGCAGGCATGTCGCATGATGAGAGAGGGAGCAAGAGAGATACCAGGCTATTCTAAACAGCTAGGTCTCTTGTGAACAAATAGAATGAAAACTCACTCCTTACTGTGGGGAGGGCACCAAGTCATTCACGAGGAATCCGCCTCTATGACCCAAACACTAGGCCCCACTTCCAACGCTGGGAATCACATTTTAACATGAGTCTTGGAGGAGACAAACATCCAAACTCTATCAGTCACCTAAAGACTCCAGTCTTCCTTACCCGAACAAAAGTGACACAGACCATTATGTTCAGGGCAGTGACAGACTCCAGCTAGCACGGGAGGAGTCAGAGGAGGTAGGGATCTGTTCTCATACCTGGGGAGGCTCCCTGGAAGAGGAGGCAAAAGGCCTGGGCCTTGAAAGGTGAATGGAAGTCTGACAGAGGAGGAGAGAGGCAAAGGGAAAGATGTCCCAGGAGGAAGTAAGTACCAGCTGCTCAGTGAGAGACCTGGAGAGGGATATGTAACTGGGCCTTTCCATGGCAGCATGGGTGGAAGGCAGTAGCTCCGAGAAGCCATCAAGAGAAAGGGGACCTCCGATGGTCTTCCAAGGAGGGAACTTCCAAGCATGGAGGTTTTACAGGGAGGCACGTCTGGTCTGGATGACCCCCAGCTGTCCTTCTGCCCGCATGCATTTTAGGTGTCCTGTGCCAAGGCATGTGCATCCTCTGCTGCTCCTGAAACTCCCCTTTGCCCAGCTGGAGTGTAGTGGCACAATCATGGCTCACTGTGGCCTCAACCTCTTGGCTCAAGTGATTCTCCCATGTCTGCCTCCTGAGTAATTGGGACAACAGGTGTGCACCACCGTGCCTGGCTAAATGTCTGTGGGTTTTTTTTGTGTGTAGTGATGGAGTTTCATCATGTTTGAGACCAGCCTGGGCTCAAGGGATCCCTCTGATTCCCCAAAGTGCAGAGATTGCAGGCATGAGCTACCTTGCCCGACTGATAATCTCCGTTTTGCCATTCACGTACCAAAATCACAGGAGTGATAGCTCAACATGTTCAGAAGCTTCACCAACACCCAGAGAGGAGGGGATTATGCCAGGGAGGTCATTGGGCACCATTCTTAGAATTCGGCCTGCTACAAAGGCCAAGCTGAGGGGTCAGAGGTAAAGAATCAGGTGAGAGCCATACAGCCGAGGTGGGGTGAGGAGCTGGCTGCCAGAATGGAAACAGGCCCTGGGAACTGGAAGACCTCACCTTCATGAGCGGGACAAGGGAGGAGGTCACGACCTACACCTAGAATAATGGATGCTCCGAGGTGACCTGCCTTGCAGGACTGTCTACTGGGCTTTAGCTGGGATGCAGGCTCGTCCATCCTCCCAAACCCAGGTCAGACCTGCTTTCCTTTCAGAAAGGCTCAGATTTCTAGTTAATGCAGGGGGTTTTACCTTTCACTTCAATGAGGGTCTTCCAATGTTCTAATGAATGCCCTAACATCGAGGGAATTATTTGGGGAATGTGTACATTTTGTGGGGAGAAGTTTCACAGCTTTTTTCAGATTCCCCAAGGCATCAAAGAAAGGGGAAGGTGGGGGAAAAGAATCACATATTGAAAGAACACCCTGAGAAGGTGTTAATTCCTACGGCTGTATAGAAACCATGCTTCATTGACCCAGTTAAGAGACGTGGATGAGTTGTTGAATGTTTTTGAAATGTCTGTAGCACTAGACTCACAGTTCTGCTTCCCTTTGGAAACCTAGGGTGGGGTGCACAGGGTTGCAGTGTCTGTGGTCACTGCACAGTTGAAAACCCTTCAGTGCCTCTCCAAAGTCCTCAGGATAAAATCCACACTCTCCTTCCTTGACATGCCTCTGGCCCCCAAGGCATGGGCTGGCCCCTGGCATAACACTTATCGGAGGTCAGTGCCCATGGCCATCTGCCTGTGGGTCCATCCCTTCAACTCACCATGAGGGCTGCTGAGGTAAAGACCGAGCTGTGCCCTTCTCTTCCTTGGGGTCCAGCCCTGTGCATGGACCACAGCATGTGCTCATAGACGGTGTGGAAAGGAGCAGCAAAACAACATATGAACGAATTCCTGATACTCTGGGGCAGAACACATTGCAGCGATGAGAAGTGTCTACAAGGCCTTGTTCTGGTTAGGGAAGGACATTTCAGGACCAGGGTCCTAAGGAAGAAAGGTCAGCGCCCTGACAAATTAAAGTTTCCTATTGGCTATTGGGGGAAAAGGGCCAGGGCCAGGGCAGTGGAGTCTGGGACGACTCGGGACATTGACGTTGAGACTTGTCAGTGACATATGTGAGCCTAAGCCAACCACTCAGGAAACAGCCACTGGATTTGCAGAGGGTGGGGGCGGGGTACGTGTGCAAAGATGTGAGGCTCTGGCTTTGGGGTAAGTGGCTAAAAACAGGCTGTTCGCACCCCCCTCACCCCTCACTTCCCCCACCACCCCTCACTTCCCCCACCGCTTTCCCTGCTCTTGAGTCCTCATGGGAACTGAGCCAAACACAAGCCCTGGCTGGGATCTTGAAGGCCATTTAGTTCAACTCCCCATTTAGAGAGGCGCAAACAGACTCAGAGAGGAGGTGACCTGCCAGGGTTACATACAGAGTCAGTAGCAGGGTAGCGACAGCTTGTCTTCAAATTTAGATTCATTTTGGTTCATCATATCCCAAGTTTTTGTGATGACAGTGTGGGGAAAGAGAATTGAGCCCTAACATGCCCCTTCCCCACCTCAAGAATCACGCTGCGCCGGCCCCACAGCCAGCGAGAGGAAAAGCTTCTGGGAAGAGTTGCAACAATTAACCTTTCTTTCTTGTTTTCCTCTGGGGTGTAGGGTTTGGTATATTTCACCCCAGGTGTGTTTGCTATAGCTGGCTCCTCACTGGGTCAGGACAGCTGGGCACCTTCTCTCCTGGCACAGTTCTCTTCACTGCAGGGCGAGGGGCAGGGAGCTAGAGGAAGTTCACAAAGCCAGCCGCCGCAGCAGCAGACCCAGTGGAGCCCAGGACTAACTTGGTCAACCTGGAGAGCCCAGTTGCTCCTGAGGAGAGGGTGAACGCAGTGGGGCATGCCTGTCACGGAAGCTCTATGGGACAGGACTGTGGGGGAAGAGACTCCAGTGACCCTCAGGAGGGCCTGAGGCCCAGAGACCTCACCCAGTTCCCCTCGTGTTTCCCAGCACCCTCGGGTGTTCTGGGCAAGGCTGCTGCAGGCATGAACTCTTGTGGTAAATTCCAGAGCTGGAAGCAGCCTCATTCTTCAGGGAAGGAGGCTGCACCCCAGAAGGGAGGAGACGCCCAGGTAACCCAGCAAGTCTGCTTCAGGGTGAGTGTTCCTGAGCCCGCTGTTCCTGGCCAGGGCTCTTTCCCTCCCTCCCCATCTCCCACAGGGCTGTTAGCTCATCAGAGAAATCCTGAGAGAATGGTAGAGAGAGACAGAGGAACAGAGAGATTGAGGCTCATGGGGTTGAGCTCAGGACTGGGCCCTTGGAGGCTCTTGCTCTCTTCATCGCCCTCCCCAGCAAGCCCTGCCAGGCTGCTTACCCAGTGACTGCAGAGTAACCACCAGGCTGCCTGAGGCAACTCCGCCCCTGTCGGCGATGGCCGCTGCGGACGTCACCTTGGCTGCTATGGAGTTCTCGGCCATTCCCACCCCAGTGAAGCCCCTGGCACCGAGCACCACAGGCACAGCCTGCACCTCCGTGGCTGCGGGGAAGAGGAGCTGGGTCGGTTCACGGGCTCAGGAGAAGGAACCCCCCCCCCACATACAGTGGGGGAGGGGCTTGGGGACCTCAGGGAATCTGGAGAAAGAGGTGAACTCTGAGCTTGGGAGAGACTATGGGCACGGCCAGTAGGCACGACTCGAGGGGAGCACAGCCAGGCGGGGGAAGTAGAGGAAAAGCTAGTGGGGTCACTGGGCACAGGGCTCTGGGCCAAGCTCTGATAGGCAGCAGGACCTTCCTTGGGAAAGTCACTTGACCTCCCGCTCAGCGTCTGCCTTAGCCAAATGCTGGAACAGGGAAGTGGTTTGCAAGTTTCTCATCTTTGCTTTCATCATTTGGGGAGCAAATCTCATTAGAGGAGCAGATCTTGCCCTGGAGATTATGTAAGAGGCACATTCAGAACAGCTCAAAGAGGCACTCTAGGGCTCCGTGGTGTTGCCACTGAGCACATTGGAAGCCACTAAACCAAGGGGAGCTGAGCCCCAGCATCTCTTTCCTGTCTACTGTGTTCAATCTCTATTGGTTCACCCTATGCAATCCTGATGATAGCCCTGAATGGGCATTACCAACCCTTTCCCTGGAGAGGAATGGGAGCTCAGAGGAGTTCAAAGACATGCCCAAGGTCATTCAGTGAACGTTCTGCCAAGGGGAAATGGCCCCTGCCTGGCTACCACCACGCCCTGCCCGCACACATTCCAGCTCCCAGTCTCCAGGTTCCCTGCTTCCAGCTTCCAGAGCCGTTATTTCTAGTTCCTTGTTTCATATGTAGCCCCTCATCCCACCTCCTCCCCTGATCACCCACGCGAAGGGAGCCTTGGCATGGACAATGCCGGCTGCTCCCCAAGTCCACCTCCCTAGAGGCAGGAGGTTACTTGGGCCCCTTCCCCACAGACTCACCTCCAATCACAACTGAAGCAATCCTGGCTGGAAACCAAAAGAACAGTCTGTGAGTGGATCCACGCTGGCCTCCCCTCCACTGTCTGAGCCAGCTGCCCATCTAGTGGGAGGGGGCTGCCCCAGGCTGGGAGCCAGAAGAAGGGATGACTCCCTCTACTGCTCTGTTTCGTTTCGGGAAGTGGAATTACTGGAGAAGGCGAAGGTCACTGGAGGGTTTGACTCCAGTGCTTGTCCTGATTAATTTACGAGGTCCCGACCTAGTTGGTTGGTTGGTTGATTAGGGGAAATCAGAACTTCTCTTTTCTTCCTCCCAAGCCAGGTTTAGTTCAAATAAAAGGCAGAATAAAAATGAACAAAACCTTCTAGATGTGGCTAGGAAGGCATGCTACTCTGACGTCTGTTCCTGGTAACACAGGATACTTGGCAATGGAATTTAGGGCTTGGTGGTTTGACCGGGACAGGGAGAAGTGAAGAGGATGGGTGTCATGCTTTCTGAGCAGGGCTGTTAGCTCACCTGAAGCAGGGTCAGTGTTTATTAGTGAGGGATACCATGACTTTCTCCTATAGTCCAGAAAAACTCTTCAGATGTAATAAGTCCTCATGGTAGAGAAAGATGTGCTTCATTTTGCACTGCGTGGCTGAAGTCAGGGCAAGCACTGTGAAATGCTTGAATGCCACTTGAGAGCAATGCTTGAATGGAATGACTTGAAAGCTTCTGATTCTTCAAGGCCCATGCTATTGCTCCCTCCTCCAGGAAGCCTTCCCAGATTCTTCCAATCAGAACTCATCCTTGCTCCTCCATGACTGGAGCCACTCACAGCACTGGGTATGCATGGTTTGCTCCCTCACATGGTGAGTCCCTGGGAAGCAGGCAGAGGTTCCACTCCCCAGCAGCCAGAGGGGCCAAAACTGCAATTTGGAACCAGGAGTTCTAAAGATAGCCAGATGTGCAGGAGTGAGCTCAGCCAACTCCCAGGGAGAGGCCTTAGAGTGATGGTGGAGGAAGTAAAGAGACGCAGGTGTGAAGGTCAAACCCTTAGTGACCAGAAAGGCCACCTGGAGGGCTTATGAGCCCCAGGACTCAGGAATCAATAATCAGGTTAGAAGGTTCAGTTTTACTGGCAGGCAGGAGAGGTGATGCCAAGTTGCCTGGCAGCCTGGTAAGCCTGGCCCTGACACACAAAAGCCCTCAGGAACTGGCTGCTGTGTGTCTGGGGGCCTGCCTGTTAGGCTCAGCTGATGGCCATTGATAGGGCAAAGGAGCCTGACCTCTGCCCTATGCACCCTTCAGAACCTTCTCTGCCCTGAGACCTCCATGCAACCTTCCCCCACTTCTATTAATACTTTTTTTTTTTTTTTTTTTTGGAGACAGAGTCTTGCTCTGTCACCCAGGCTGGAGTGCAGTGGCACAATCTTGGCTCACTGCAACCTCTGCTTCCTGGATTCAAGCGATTCTCCTGCCTCAGCCTCCCAAGTAGCTGGGACTACAGGCATGTACCACCATGCCTGACTAATTTTTGTATTTTTGGTAGAGACCAGGTGTCACTCGGCCAACCAGCCAGGCTGGTCTCAAACTCCTGACCTCAAGTGATCCCCACCCACCGCCTCAGCTTGCAGGTGTGAGGCACTGTGCCAGGCATATTAATGCTTCTTGTCATTGATCATTATTCTACCTCCTGTTTCAAGGCCGGAAGCAGCACCTCCACGCCCTCCTGTCCAGCACAGAGCACTTGGACAACAGTAAATTGTCCCTGTTGGTAAATAAGAGATAGTATTATCTTCTTATCTTCCTCTGGGGTTGTTACAAGAATTAAACAAATGGACAAACCTCAAGTGCTAGACTTCATGACTAGGACATAAAAGCACTGGCTCAAATTGAGCTGTTAGTATTTTAATTTTATGAATTGCCTGATCTTAAACTGAGAAGTCATCTGCATTTCTGACAAACAGAAAGGACTGCTGGGTGTGGCCCAGGCCCTCACTTGCTCATGACACTTCTCTGCACTGAGTTGGGGGTACACAGAGTGATGTGTGTTGCCAAGGGCCAGTTACCTCCAAGTCGCAAAACAGGGTGCCAGTGAGGGACCCCAGCATGAAGGAGCTAACCTCCAGTGCCCCCAACAAGGGTCTGAGGATAGATGTGTTGGGGCTCAGGGCAGCCGAGGATGACAGGGTCAGCAAAGGGTGAGTGCACAGGGCTCAAATAGAGGGTAGAGGTTGGGGCAGGGTCACAAGTCAGGGTAGGGGTCATTCAAGACTATGCCATTTGTGCTGGTGGAGTTGGGAGAATCCCTGATGTCCACCCAGGAGACAGAAAAGTAAAGGGCAGTGGATACCTGCAAAGAAGCACTTGCCAGCAGGTAGAAGCCAGGATTAGATGCTCACTGAATAACATTGATGGATCTCAAGAATATGGTTCAGTGTGGGAAAGAGCGACAGAATGGGATCTACAACACGCTCTCCTGCATGTCAATTACAACGCATGCAAACAAAATAAAATACCTGTTCTGCAAAAATACATATGAAAACCAGACACACATCAAATCTATTACAAAGGTTGACTTTGAGGGATGGGAATTGAGGGTGAAAAGGAAGACAAATGAGAATAAATAAATAAAACCAGAAAGAGATCTCACAGAAACCAGTGAAAAAAGTGGGCTGAAGAATTTTGTTAAAATCAGTACTCTGATTTTAATTGAGATCTCGTAGGGCGCAGGGACCCTGTTGACAAGGGAAACTCCCAAAGGAGGTGAATTCTGATGGTGAATTCAGGGGAAGGAAGAGCTGAAGAGAGTGGGACTCAGTGATAGACAGTTTTGGGCTAGGCAGGAGGGGGTCTGGGCCGGGGGGTGGGGGGGACCTGTGGGACACCCAGGGCTAGGCCTGCCCCTGGCCCCTTCCCAGATGGAAAGCCGGGGCGGACACCTGCAGTGGGAGGACAGGGCAGGGCAGCAAGGCTGCAGGTGTTCCCCCATTTTCTCTCCCATGGTTCCCTGGACGGGACTGCCACCTGCCACAGTCGCCTCCTCGCCCCCAGCAGCAGCCCCTCCCGGGAACACTCACCCACAGGCAAAGCTACAGCACAGCCAGAGGCCACCCTGGCCACACCAGTCACTGCTCGGGTGAATTCCATGGCCTAGAGAGTAAGAGTTCCTCAACTTCAGCCAAAGGGATAGAGCTCTAAGGACGTGATGGGCACACAACCTGGCTTGCCTCCCACTGTCCTGAAAGATGTGAGGGGCTCCAGGGGGCTAGGGAGGCTGCTGTAAGCTGTGGGGACAGCAGGCCTGGAAAGGAACCTGGGGTGAGGGAAGGAGGGATGTTGGAGAGTTGGGGCTACCAAAGGACGTGTGTTAGCCCAGGGCCCTGAGGGATGCTATTTCCCCTGGGGTGGTAGGGGGGTGCTGCTTTCTTCCTCCTGAAAGCCCCAGTGCCAACTTCTTAGACAGTTCTGGGACTTCCTTATATCTCCACGGAGCAATTGAAAAGACACCAAAATTAGGAAATCAGAACCAATCACATTTTAAGGCGTATACGGCAGGTAAGGTAACTGTTCTTCTGTAATCTCCTCACTAACATGAAAAAGAGAGGACACGCCCCCACCCATATTACAAATGAGGAAATGCGGTCTGGCTCAGTGATTTACTCCAGGTCAGAGGCTTCCCATAGCAAAGCAACACCCCATCTCTACACACAAACACACACACACACACACACACACACACACACACACACACACACACGACAAATACTATATGATTCCACCAATCAGCAGTACCCAGAGTAGTCAAATTCATAAGGACAGAATGTAGAATTCCCAGGGCAGGAGGAGGGGGCAGAGCAGATCTGTTTAATGGGGACAGAGATTCATTTTCACAAGATGAAAAAATTCTGGAGTTGTATCATAACAACGTGAATATGTATCTAACACTGCTGAACTGTACTTTAAAAATGGTGGCCAGGTAAGGTGGCTTACGCCTGTAATCCCAACACTTTGGGAGGCCGAGGTGGGTGGATCACCTGAGGTCAAGAGTTAGAGACCAGCCTGACTAACATGGTGAAACCCCATCTCTACCAAAGATACAAAACAATTAGCCAGGCATGGTGGCGGACACCTGTAATCCCAGCTACTCAAGAGGCCAAGGCAGGAGAATCGCTTGAACCCAGGAGGCAGAGGTTGCAGAGAACTGAGACTGCACCACTGCACTCCAGCCTGGTGACAGAGTGACACTCTGTCTCAAAAAAACATGGTCAAGATGGTAAATTTTATGAGGTTTAATCACAATATAAAAGGGAGGAAGGTCCATGGAAAGAAACGTATGAAATTGCAGCAGCACTTTACTTCTGAGAGTGGGATTGGGGGCGGAATGAGGGGCAAGGATGCTCATCAGAGATAAAGGGGCTTTAGCCTTACCTGTAGGAATCTAGGTTTTCAAGAGTAGAAGGTACTTCAAGATTTCTTAAGTAATTTAAATGCAATAAAATGCTAATTTTCATTAGAAAATAATATAATCCCATGCTGGAAAGTTAAAACTAAAAAGACAGTAACCTACCGTCCACTTGCCTTCAGGTCGTGGGCTGTTCCTTAACGGCTGGCGGGGTGAGAAGATAACACGACAGAGAGAGAAGCAGTGAGCCTGGCTGGGAGCCTACTTTAGTTTCCCCCAAGGGTCCTCGAGGCCCGTCTTCCCTCAGAACATCACCCATGCTGTCCTTTACAGACTCAGTGTCCCTTACCCCCCTCTCTTCTTTGAAACAGAAACCTCCTCTTTCAGGTATAGGAGCTCCTGCCCTGACTACGAGTGTAGCAGAGGCATGGGCTCTCCTCTCACTGTCTAAAGGTGAGCCCAGGTGCGCTTAAACCAATCAGCTCATCCCACCCAGCCTTTGGGCCAAGCTAATGGGTTTTAGGAATGAGTAAATGACTTCATTTAAGATAGCAGCATTAACATTTACTAGAGGTATTTGGGAAAGACGTTTCTTTGCTTTTCAGGAGAAAGTGCATGAAAAAAGGTTCTTTCTGGGAGACATGAATAAAGAAGGTAGCTTCCAGAGCCTGCTAACAGCTGCCTTGTAACTGAGAGAGCTGGCAGGCACCGGATGTAGCTGATGCCTCAGAAATGAAGAACAGAAGACAGGTCTTTGACATCCACGTTGTGCTGCTGAATCAAATCTTGCCTGAAACATACTTTCCCTTTGGACTTTTTCATTTGGTAAATCAATGAAATCCCTTGAACTCTGAGCAAGGTGCTGTCAAATTTCTAGTACTTACAACTACATAATCTTTAAGTAACACAGCACTTACTCCAGGAAGTCTTTTCAGGTAGCTACAATTAGAATCAACCTCTGCCTTCTCTGTCCTATGAGCCATATAGGCTGATCCTCTTCAGGGACTGTACACATTGTCTTATGCTGTGTTACCTGTGGCTGGATAAAAAGTGACCACACTATTTAGTGGCTTAAAAGAGTTATGTAGCTCATGATTCTGTGGGTCAGCAATCTAGGCAGGTGGTTCTTCTGGTCTCAGCTGCGTCCCTCAACCATCTGCAGGCAGCTGCAGGTCGGCTTTCGCAGATCTCACCTGGGCTCGTTCCCATGTCTGGGGCCTTGTCTGGAATGAATGGGCCTTGTGTGCTTGTCCAGCCTGACTTGTTCTCATAGCAGTGATGGGGACCAGGCGTTGCAGCAGAAGGCTGCCGGGTTTCTTAGGGACTAGGCTCAAGATTAGCATGCCATCACTTCCACTGCGTTCTATCCGCCAGAGCAACTCCCCGGGCCAGAGGAGATTCAAAGGGAAGGGAAAGAAACTCCTACTTCTTGATGGGAGGAGCTGTACAGCCATGCTGAAAGGGAGGAGAATGTGGTCATTTCTGTAATTTACCCCAAGTCCCTTAACATCATTGGTTAAGGGCTGGCTTCCCCAACATTGTGCACCCAGGGCAGAGATGGATCTCTGTGATCCTCTGCAGCCAGGGGGATCATGTGGGATGGAGCCCTTGAGGCCAGTTGGGAGCTGTGGGAGTCAGCTCAGTCAGCATCCCAGAGAGAGCCCTATGGGAATACAGCTTTAAAGGAATAATAAGTGTGAAGGTCAAACAGCCCAGAGTGGGACCGAGGTTGAGATCAGAGGCCAAGTCTTAACAGGCTTTCCAGAAGTCAACTGTGGCTTATTCTAACGGCCAAGCAGGTGCCGGGTGGCAGACAACAGGTCAGCGTGCATAGTGTGCATAGGACACCTGGTACCTGATCTGGGGCCAGGCACACAGTAGGTCCCAAATCAGGTGCCAGGCACATAGTAGGTCTCTGGAAATGGGTGTTCTGCATCGGCCTACTTCTCAGGAATCCCAGCCCCTTGCCCATCCTCACAGGCTCTGCTCAGTCCATCTGAGGGCTGAGGAGCCTGGGCTCTGTGCCGAGAGGGACAGAGTTCCCTGGAGGAATGAAACTTTTCTATCTGTATGGAGAAGGCCCATCGGCCAGGCAAATGCAGTGTTGTTCAACTTCTAGAGTAATCATACAGCCACCCCCTGAGTCCTGGGTGGAAAAGGAAGGGATCAGTCAGGCATGGGGACAAAGGGCTTCGTAATTGAGCATCAATGGCTCAAGCACTGACCCAAGAGCCACACCATCCTATAACGCTGACTCTGGCTGCCTCCCTGATCTGAAGAGCAGCAAACTGAGGCTCAAAGGGCAGACATGACCTGCTCAGGACCACAGAGTGAGTGGAAAGCCTGGAGTCAGACTGGCTCTGGTCACGGACATCCCATGCTCCTTCCTCTTGAGTCCCTCCCTGCCCAGCACTCCTGCTGCAGCGCTGTGCTCTATCCTGACCACAAGAACAGGGAACTGATGCTAGGAGAAGATCAGCAGCCTCTTGTCTTTATTTTTCATGCTTCCTTGGATGATTTTGGCAGTAGGGGACTTGTCCTTTGAAGACTGTCCTTCAGAGGCCCAGGAGAGTCATCTCCATCAAGAGAGTCACCTCCCTGCTTCAGTGCAGTATTCAGCTGAGGGTGCAAAAGCAACCCAGCCAGGCTCCAAGACCTGACCCAGCAGAGCTCAGGATGACTCCAGATGTCACGGAGAGTCCAGCTGCCCCTGGGGGAGAAGAGAGGGTGAGCACAGGGCACAGGGAGGGGTAGCAGCTCCTAACAGGGGGTTGGAGGCCAGAGACCCTGGTTCCCTCCAGATGCCTGAGGTCCAGGCAGCCCAACCCTTTTCCCCACCTCTACTTCCTAAAACCCTAGGATTTCTGCTTTGGGAGGGGCTGCTGCAGGCCACTGCCTGGAAAGGAGGCATGAACTCTGGTGAGGGAATCCCAGCAAACGGGCAGACCCTGAGAAATGGCAGCCTCCTTATCTTCCAATAGCCCAGAGAGGGGAGAGGACCTGCCTGGCTTTTGTAGGGTTCACCAGGAACGCAGATCTCCTAGGCTGTACCCCTGGTCCCACCTCCAACCAGAAGAAAGGACAGTGACAGGAAGACAAAAGGGGCCCAGGAGGCTGAGGGTCATGGAACTGCAGGGAGAGGAAAGGCCTCCCTGGGGTCCAGCCTTGGGGTTGGATCATCTCCCGGCTCTGGTCATCCTGTTCGGAACTGTTACCCACTGACTGCAGAGTAGCCATCACACTGCCCGCGGCAACTCCACCCCCTCCATCATCTGGGCTGCCATGGAGGACGCAGTGATTCCTCCTGAGGTGAAGCCCATGGCACTGAGCCCCACAGGCACAGTCACCACAGCCACAAATGCAGCAAAGTGGAGATTTGGGGTTGGCCCCATGAGACAGACCCCCCAGATCTCCCTGACATCTTCCTGTGGAGGTGGTGTCTGCTGTCCTCTCGGGAAAGACCTGGAGCAGGGATGGGATCTCAAAACAAGGGCAGTCAATGTGGAAAGCAGCCAGTGGACCGGCTCCCAGGAGAATCTGAATTCCGAGGCCTGTTTAGAACTGTTTCACTGACACCATGTGAGGCTCGCTGGCCCTCCTTGGGCCTCTGTTCCCCTAATGTCAAATAAATACATTGAAGTCAAATAAAAACAGAAGTCTTCAAACTTTCCCTTTCGGCAAGGAAAATATGATCTCTCCAAGCACACGGTTGAGAGTAGACAATATCAGAGCTGCTCTTCCAAAGAGGCGAGGGGATGGAGGCCCTGAGGGCCCTGCAGAAGCATGCGGGCGTCCTCCAGGGCTCCCCAACATCTCCAGAGCAGTGCAGTCAGAGAGCTATCTGCAATCATAGCCATATTTGTTTTCCGTACTGTCTACAAGGGTAGCCACATTAAACACTTGAAATGTGATGCAGGTGACAGAGAAACGTTATGAGTTTCTTTAGTTTTGGCCACTGCATTGGAGGACATTGCTTTACAGCAGCTCAAAAGCTTCTGGCTCAGTGGATGGGCTACCAGGCTTTGTCAAATAATTTTGAGGAATGAGACACAGCTCAGCTGACAACTCCCTGCAAAAGTCCCCGTGGATACCATGGGCCCCGCTTTAGAGGGGGAGGAATCCCAGGCTCAGACTGCTCAAATGACTCTTCTGGGGTCGCATGGTTTGTACTTGGTGGAAGCTGAGAGTAGCCCCAGCTCTGGCTGCCTCCGAAGGCTCACGCCTTTAATGGCTGTGCTTTGCTTCCTGCTGCTCAAGGTTCTCATCACTCTGCTCACTCCACTGCTACCCACATATGTCTTGGGGACTTATGGGTTTGGTCAAGGCTAGTTTCTCCCAGAGGTTCAGGATTGAGGGGATGTGGGGGAAGGGCGCTTGAATTCCTCCCCATAGTGACTCACCTCCTCAGATCACAGCTGTACAGCAGCCCTGCCTGGAGACAAAACACACACACACACACACACACACAGAAAACATAAAACAAAAAAAACACCACAAACCTGTGAGGGTGGGTCCACTCTGATTCTGATAGCTCCATTTCAAATTCAGCTTTGCTATTCTATCCCTCTTCTGAAGCCCCTGACCCATGCTAGGCCATAGGTCAGAGGTGAAGGCCCCATCCTCAGGGCTCCACCCATGGCACCTTCTGCAGGAAGCCTCCCCAGGTCCCGCCATCAGAAGTCACCTGTCCCGGCCACAAGGCTGGGCCCCTGCAGCACTAGGCAGAACATGCCTGGGCCTCCTGAATTGCTTTGAGTTCCCAGGGCTGGCAGGGACATCTGACAATGGCCGTCACAGGGGTAGGGACTGGGATGCTTAGGCAGCTAGGACCAAAGTTCTGGAGATTTCAGGACCTGCAGGAGTGAGCTCAGCGAGCTCCCCAAGAAGAGGGGCCTTGGTCTCAGCCAAGTAAGAGAAGGTACAAAAATCAGCTTCAAGCCTCCCATCACTCCCTGCCATTCCTTGAAGCTTTTAGCTCATGGCTCGGGTCCTCCCATTCTCTCTATCACGGCTTCTGACCTGTCTTATGATTTCAATCTCTACTCAGATGACATTTCCCATAAACATGTCTTTCCGTTCTTACTTCCTCGCTTCCAAAGACCTTGGAGTCTGTGACGTACATCCCCTCAGTCACACCCTAGGCCTGTGCTGCTCACTACGGTAACCACTACCTATGTGTGGCTAGTTAAATTTTAATGAATTAAAAATGAAATAAAACTTAGAGCTCATTGCTTCAGTTGTACTAGTCACATCTCAGGAGCCCAAGAGCCACGTGTAGCATGTGGCTGCCACAGTGGAAGGCTCAGATGACAGAAGGTATTATCAGTTTTATTAGCATTCTGCCCTAGACCTTGTAAATAACAAAACGGTACCCTCCCTGTTATCAGCAGTGAGCAGCCCCCTAGAGGCCCTGACTCCTCCCTTTCCAGCTTTCTGACTCTAACACAAGCTTTGGGAGTTCTCCGGCCACCCCGGGATTTCTGATCTTTGTCTTAGTTTCCTAGGCTGCTGTAACCAAGGTCCCCAACCTGGGTGGCTCCAAACAACAGAAATCAATTATCTCTCAGTTCTGGAGGTCGGAAGTCCACAGTCCAGGAGTCAGCACGGCGACTCTCTGTCTGAGGGCTCTCAGGGAGGGTCCTCTCTGCCTCCTTCTGGCAGCTGCCGACAGTCCTTGGTGCTCCTGGCCTGCGGCTGCATCACTCCAATCTCTTGTCTGTCTTCATGCAGCCTTCTCCCTCTGTGGCTCCAGGTCTCTTCTTTGCTCGTAAGGACAGTGGTCATACTGGATGAGGGGCCATTCTATTCCAGTGCGACTGCATCTTAACTCACAACTTAGTTACATCGGCAATGGCAGTTTCCAAATAAGGTCACATTCACAGCTACTGGGAATTGAGACATTTTTGGTGGGGTGGGGGGACAATATAACCTGTAACACTATTCCTCACTCACCGACATCCTCTCTACCCTCCTCACCCATTTAGATTCTATTCTGACTCATGGCAAGTGCCCCTCACATACCCTTCAGCTCTCTCCCCTCCTCTTCCTCTCTCATGTTCAACCCCACTGTGTCTTTCCGTTCCTTTCACACCCCACTCTCTGAGTATGCGAATTTTACAACTGCTCCCTGATCATCAAACCTGCACCACCTCCTCTCTTGCCTCCCTAAGTCACCAAGAAAAGGCAACCAGAAGAGAGCTTCCCCTTGCTGTCACCACCAAGCCTACCCCCCACCCGCCCACTCCACATTCCCCCTGCCCTCCCATTTCTGTGATGAGCAGCGCCTGCACCTGCCACCCATGTGCCTCCCTGCTTGTGTGCCTGTCCCCCCATGCACTGGGCCCACCTGCTCTTCCTACTGCAAGTCATGCTCCAGTAGTGCCTCCTTTGGTTCTGCATCATCAAAGTCTCCCTCTCTCTGGGATTGTTCCCAATACCAGTAAAACAAAGACAACCTCTCCCTTCACACCACACCTTCCACCAGCTGCTGCCTCCCTTTGCTTTGCTCCTTAGAGCAAAGCTTCTCGTGATAGTTCTGTCCATTCAGGGAGAGGCAGGATGGCACTGTGGTTAGGCACCCAGACTCAGAACTGCATGACCTTGAGCAGTTACCTAGCTTTTCTGTCCCCTCTATAAAATGTGTAAGATAATGAGAGCAGCCACCTCCCGGGATTAATGAGAGGATCTAAGGCAAAGCACTAGAACATTAGTGAGTCTTTAAGATGTGAGCACAGGCACGACTCACCACCCACCACTCCTCTCATGCGCTCTCAAACCCGTCCCCATCAGCCTTCCTCCCAACCCAGTCCCCAGGAAACTGGACTTACAAAGTCCCCACTGACCTCCTTGGTGCCCATTCAGAACACTCCCTCTTGGGCCTCAACATTCCCAGCGCTCAGCAGTGTCTGACACGGGTGATTACTCTCTCTTCCTGAAAACATCTTTGTTGTGGTTGCATTACATCACCCGACAAGATATGTTCAAGTCCTCACATCTGCTACCTGTGAATGTGACCTTACTTGGAAATAGAGTCTTTGTAAATGTAATTCAGATGCGACCATACTGGAGTAGGGTGGGCCCTTACTCCAGTATGACTGAGGTCCTTATAAGGGAAAAGAAGAGACAGACACTTGGAGTCACACAGGAAAAGCCCATGTGAAGACAGGGACCGAGCCTGGAGCGATGCGGCCACAAGGCAAGGATGTCACAGCAGCCACCAGAAGCTAGGGAGTGGCATGGCCATTCTCCCCAAGAGTCTTCAGAGACAGCATGGCCCGGGGACACTATGATTTCGGACTTCTGGCCGCCAGAACTGTGAGAGAGTAAATGTCTGTGGTTTTAAGCCATCCAATCTGTGGTCCTTTGTGACAGCAGCCCCAGGAGGCCAACACATGTTCCTCACCTGGCCTCCAAAATATGACTCATTCTCCACGGTTCAACCCCTTTCATACTTGTCTGTCCTTCTCAGTCTCATTCAGCTCCTCTCCCAGATCTCAGCGCAGTGTGGGTGTGTCCAGGGGCAGTCCTCAGACTCCTCTGCTTTAGCCCCACGCCCCAGGGCGCTTCGCCCAGTCCCACTGCGTTAAGTACTCTGGTGACTTGCGGATTGATGTGCTTAGCCTAGACCTACTCAACATGCCCTGTGTGTGACTGAGAAGCACCTCAAACATAAAGTGACCCAAGTGCACTCCCACTTCCCCTCTGGAAGCTGTCCCTCCAACAGCTGCCCAAGCTCTGTAAGGGCAGCCCCATTCTCTCAGCAGCTCAGGTTAAGCAGCCTGGAGTCCTCGACTCCACATGGGTTCCTCACCCTCACAGCAGTCTACCCGTGAATGCTTATTCACCTTCAGAAATATCTCATCTGAACATTCCTCATACTTCTGCAACTCCAGTCATGGACTAAGCCTCCTGCATCTCTCAGCGGGATGACTGGAGGAGCTTCCTAGGTTGTCTCCCTGTCTCTGCTCTGGCCCAAGTCACTGTTGAACCTGGAATCCATTCTCTCAGCAGCTCAGGCCAAAAGCCTTTATGCTATAAAAGTTGTCAGAATCAAAATGGAGTTGCTTATGCCAAATCCTAACAAAATGGAGGCAGGCCACCAAGAAGGGGCTCTCATGCACACATGCCTATGATAAGAGCTATTACAAAGATGCTCTGAAAACCACAACCTTGCAGAAAGCCACTGCAGCCTTCTATAGAGAGTACTTCTGAGTGGGTGACTCCCCAGCAACTGCCTGTTCAATCTTGGGCTGATGCCACACTTGTAGGCAAGGATCATTGTTTCAAACCACTTATGTAACTTTCCTCATTCTGCCTTTAAAAACCTTTGTCTTCCTTTGCCTTCATGGCTACATCTGTGGCCCTGCCATAGTTCACTATGGTACATGTATTCTGGAATTACAAAAAAAAATCTTGTCATTCATTCCTGAATAATCTCTTTTCAATGGAGCGCCTCCCTCTCTGTTATTTGGGGTTGACATAATCTGGTGTCAGAAGAGTAGGTCACAAAGCAAGTTCACCTCGGAAGGACCAGCAGCCCCCGGAATCATGTGCAGTACCCACCTGAGCCCCATCCGCTCTTTCCCATGGTTGGCCCTTTTGCCTCAGTGAGTCTCCAGGTGGATTCTTGTACTTCCACCTGTTGGTTGAGTTTTGACTTTATTCAGGATCTGGTTTGGGTAAGGCTGCATTAATAAAGGACTCTGCATCCCTCCTGGGACTATAAAACATATTGTCTTTTCTGGCAATTCCTTTCGGGTGTAAAGAGTTTGTCTTTCTAGTAAGTTCTCTTCTGACTTCATGTTTGTTTTCACACACATCAGTAAATGATATGACTCTTTTACGTTCCCCCCCACCACTTTTTTTCTCAATATCTTTCAAGAGGAAAGATGAATATACCAACACTGGGCATGGGATGATTAGTTAAAAGCCATTAGGGCAATTACCACCAACTATGAGGGACTTTGGTCTCCAAAGAACAAAGTTCCCTGTGTAAGAATAAACTGAGCACAAATGGCAAGATTTTCACAAGATGCCTACCAGTCTCAGGAAAACTTCCATGCAACAGGAGAATCATGGCTGCCAGTCAGACAAGGAGGGCAAAGCCCATCCACCAAGTAAAAGAAGTATCCCTGTGCCAATCATGCTTTTAAAACAAACACTTTGCCCAAACCCTTAAAATTCCTTAACTGCTTATAAGACTTCCTTTTGCTCTCAAGAAGTAGTAAGAAACGGAATGGGATTCCCAAATTCTAAGGCATACCAGAACAACCTTCCTTTAGGGACTCTAGCTGGTTATATGTTCAAACATCATGGTGGGGAGCGACAGGGAAGATGGTAGATAGGAGACAAGGCTAATGTGCAGCTCCCACTTGAATGGACAGACCAGTGTGTGGAGACTTACACCACAAACTTCCAAGCACCACTGCAGGACCATACAAGAAAACAGAAAGAATTTACAGATCTTTTGAAAGAAGTGGCATATCACTGCACATTCTGCGAGACAAGCAAAAACTGAGTTCCCAAAGTGTGAGGGGGGTAACCTGCCTCCAAACACACATCCTCACTGGGGAACTGGAATATCCAGATCACGGGAGGATTTAACCCTACTTAGAGCTGGAACGGGTTTAGGGAGCTGTGCAAAATATAAAAGTGAAAGCAACAGCAGGAAGAGCTCTGTAGACATTCCTGGTCTCCAGCCTAAGCCCAGGGAAGCTATCCCTGACTCTATCTCACAGGGGCGCTTAAGGAACTCAGCAGAATCAGGGAGGGTTCACAGGGTACAAGAAGCTTCCAACTGAATTCTGCAATAATTTCAGCTGAGCACAAACTTTCTTGAGCAGAGTCCAGGGGATGAATGGAACTGCTGCACATAAGGCAGGAGCCACAGTTGACATTGTAGGCAGACACGGAGGGGAGAAACCTGAAAGCCGAGCTTGCTTGCTCAGCAGGGTAGTTTATGGCCTGGGACTAGATCTAAGCTCTGCACACACAAGATGCCTGGATCTAAACATGGCACTATTAGTGGGGCACTGCAGGAGTGAGACCAGCCTCTCCAACTGCATGGGAGGTGGGTGAGGCCTTTTGCTACCAGCTCTCCCCACTTACCTGGTGAGCAGTACTGCTAGGAAGAGGCAGCCACACTCCCCTCTGGAACATAACCCCACTGGCCTGAGACCAGCCCCACATACCCCACAGTGGTCACAGCAAGTCCCATTCAAGGAGAATCTGAGCCCACACTCACCTAACCCTGCTCTCTCACCTGATAGCATTCCTCTACCTGCTCTTGTAGCTGAACACAAAAGATATATACCCTTGGGAGCTTTATGGCCCTACCCATCACCTTAGTAATGAGAATACCTCCCCCGGCCAACTTACAGAAAGCTTATATGCCACTGCTAATACTGTAGCTGGGGTTTTCTTGCAGTGCCAACTTCTGGTTGGAGGCCAGCCAACTCAGGCCATTACAGCAACTCATGACAGAACAACCCTGCTCCCAGGAAGGAGAAAATGGCAGTTAATACCACTGCCTGCAACATCCTGGCTAACCAGAAGCCCTGTGTCTGTCCAACTGACACCATCACTGCTAGCGTAACCAGCATTCAAGAAAGCCAGCACACCCAACCTACCTACAACCAAGAACTCTCAGAGTCTATCTACTTCACTCCCCTGCCACCTCCACCACAGCAGGTGCTGATATCCATGGCTGGGAGACCTGAAGATGGACCACATCACAGGACTCTTGACAGACGCTCCCCAGTACCAGCTCAGAGCCCGGTGGCCCCACTGGGTGGATAGACCCAGAAGAGCAATACCAATGACTGCAGTAGGGGTCTCAGGAAGCCCCATCCCTAGGGAAATGGGGAGAGTATCACATTAAGGGAGCACCTCATGGGACAAAAGAATCTGAACAGCAGGGCTTGAGTTTCAGATCTTTCCATTGGTGTAGATTCTCACCGCAGAGACACAATTGCAGTGCTAGGTGCAGTAGTGAAAGTCTGCACCTATATCCCAACAGGCTGGAGTTTGAGACCAGCCTGGCTAACATGGTGAAACCCTATCTCTAGAAAAAAATACAAAAATTAGCTAGGTGTGGTGGCACAGACCGTAATTCCAGCTACTTAAGGGGCTGACGGAGAAGGATCAGGAGCTTGCAAGGTGATTTCAATTTGAAATTTTGCTGATTCTTCCTAATGTTTTGTTTTCCACATAGAAGGAAATCTTTTTTAAGCTATCTGCAGCTCACAACAAGTTAATGTGGGGGTTGCATGGCAACATATTCAAGCTTACGTATAAGGCACTTGAGTTCAAGGCATGGAAAAATACTGAGGCACTGCATGTACGTTGTTAGTGCAGAAGACTCTAGCTCCTTGACCCTGCAAACAGGGCAAGGAACGAAAAGCGTGATAAGGATCGCTGAAAACAGCCTCCTGAGAATGTAGTCTGAATGCTTTTAGAGATAGTCAACAAGGCCATGTGTGCCTCATGATCCCATCACAAATTGCCCCCGGTGGATGTTTTTGTCTGAATTGTAGTTCAGCAAGCTCTCTCAATAAATATTCGGTTGGGCACTGTCTCAGAAGAGCTGCTCCCCGCCCCGCTCGGCTGGAATTGTCTGAGTGCTTCATTCACTGCAGCTACAAGCTGCAGGTAAAATATACTTTTGTTAACAAAATGGAAACATTTACTTTCCGTACCCCCCAACCTGATCCCTCCAAAATTTGGAAACTACATATGAGTGTTCTCATTTTTGTGGTAAATATTTGCATAAGCTTAATAAGAATCTGCCCTCTTTATAACAGGATACAACTAAAAATGTTGGTTATATTATTAAAATTTTGACTAGGATGTCATATTGAAGATCGTCTATAGGTATTGCTATAGAGTCTAAAGTCTGTCTTAGTTGGGCTTCCTAGCCTAAAGAGGTTTTTAAATCTGAGAGTCCTATGTGGTCAATTACTATTCTTCCTGCACTTAAGTAAATAGGCTAAGTATGATGAGGCTAAACTTAGTGAAGAAACATATTGGTCTTATTTTGATTACCTTTGGTGGAAATGGAGGTATAAAAAATTATGTTTCAGAAAAAAAATCTGTAGTAACCCTGTTATTAGACTGTAATCTTGTTCAATGTTTTTAAGTTTTTATTCTTTACCTACAACGTGGACTGAATCCTGAATTATTCTAGTTTCCTCTGAGATCCAGATGTAAGTCTCACCCGGTTCCCCGTAGTCATTTGATTTGTTTAATTGGTTATCTTCAGGCTTGGGTTCATGATTCAAAACTGTTATGCATACTGGAGTCATCATATTATTATGAATTTGGCTTCATATGGTCCTTTTTCAACTTTGTACCTATTGCCTGTCAAATTTCTACAGAAATACAATAGCTAACAGAACAGTGCTGGCCCCGTGCTTTGAAATAATAACCAACACCCATGTAACTGACAAACTTGCACTTAACACTGAACTCCAGGCAGACTTAGCCTGAGAGCTACTTTAGCCAAAAGGGTTTTGACACTGACTCTTAGTTGCCAATCCCTTCCCTCCAATGTGGGACCAGGCCAACCAGGACAGTCCATCCTGGTACTGAGCTATAAGCAAAACCTTACCACAGGATGACTGATCAGCAGTGTTTTCAGAGAAAGATTATCAAGAGAGGGAAATGCGGAAGTTGTCAGAATCAATATGGAGCCACTTATGCCAAACCCTAACAAAATAGAGGCAGGAGCCTATCAAGGAGGGCCTCTCATTTGCGCAAGACTGATAAAAAGGATTACAAGACTCTCTGAAGACTACAACCCTGCAGAAAGTCCACTGTAACTGAGGCAGGAGAATGGGGTCTGGAAGCAGGGAGCCTAAGTCAAACAGAAAAGCCCCAGCTTTCCATGCCCAAGTAAAAACTTTGTAACTTTACTTCAGCAATGACAGGAAACATCCTCTCCATTTACATAGGGTGTACACCAAGTAAATAACTGTGTAATCTCACTACGTCCTATTCATTTACATAGGGCATACACCAAGTAACCAATGGGAAACCTCTAGAGGGTATTTAAATACCCAGGAATTTCCGTAATTGGGTTCTTGAGCTGCTTGCTGGAGCCCACTCCCACTCTGTGGAGTATACTTTCATTTCAATAAATTGCGCCTCTCTTTCATTGCTTTGTTTGTGCCTTTTGTCCAATTCTTTGTTCAAAATGTCAAGAACCTGGATACCCTCTACTGGTAACATATTTTGGTGAACCAACCAGGAATTAAGTCCAAAGTTTGGAATTTACTTTTCTTCTCCTTTTCTTTCCCTCTCTACTCCAAACAGGTGAACCCTTGACAGTGAAAGATAATGTCTCTCAGGCATTTTTACCTCCTTTCTCCTACTCAATCTATTAGACTGGGCAAGGACAAAAGAAACCCACCCAGCCTCCAGTTCCTATCATTAAGGTTCATGGCTATAACATCAGTGGAACAGGAAGCATGGGAAAGTGTGGCCATATCAAATTATAAGGATGCATGAAGTCAAGGCCTTCATCCAAGGACAAAAGGAAAGCTCAGGAGAGAGATCCAAGATGGCTGATCACTAGCAGCTTGGGATTGCAGCTCCCACTGAAAGAGCAGAGAACGAGAGGACGCCACACTTTCAGATCAACTTTTGTTGCTCACGCACGAGGAGATTCCCAGCGGAGGAGCCCCATGTGTCGCCAGCGCGACTCTTGAGGCCGGTGAAGTGGTTTTGCTGCTGCCTGGTGTGGCAGTTTTTGGTGCAGAGTCAGAAAAGCACCATCAATCTTAACGCCGCTGTTTTGGCCAGCACAGTGGGTTGCTCAGATTCTAGCGCCGGGAAGCAACAAGTTGGACGTCCATTCAGAAACCCAACTATAAAGACGGTAATTATAAAGACCACAGATGGATAAATTTATAGCGAAGGGAAGAAACCAGCCTAAAAAGGCTGAGAATACCCAAAATCAGAATGCCTCTCCCTCTACAGGGGATCACAGTTCCTCATCAGCAACAGAACAAGACCTGATGGAGAAAGACTGTGTTCCATTAGCAGAAGTAGGCTTTAAAACGTGGATGATAAGAAACTTCTGGGAATTAAAAGAACTTGTTCTAACCCAATGCAAAGAAACTAAGAACTTTGAAAAAAAGGTTTGACGAAATGTTAACAATAACACACAATTTAGAGAGGAATATAAGTGAATTAATGGAGCTGAAAAATACAACACGAGAACTTCACCAACTATGCACAAGTTTTAACAGCCGAATTGATCAAGCAGAAGAAAAGATATCAGAGGTCGAAAACCAACTTCATGAAATAAAACAAAAAGACAAGATTAGAGAAAAAAGGATAAAAAAGAACGAGCAAAGTCTCCAAGAAATATGGGACTATGTGAGAAGACCTAATCTACGTTTGATAGGTGTACCTGAATGTGACGAAGAGAATCAATCCAAGCTGGAAAATACGCTTCAGGATATTATTCAGGAAAACTTTCCCAACCTAGCAAGGCAGGACAATATTCAACTCCAGGAAATACAGAGAACACCACAAAAATATTCCTCAAGAAGACCAACCTCAAGGCACATAATCGCCAGATTCACTAGGGTTGAAATGAAAGAGAAAATACTGACGGCAGCCAGAGAGAAAGGTCAGGTTACCCACAAAGGGAAGCCCATCAGACTCACAGCAGATCTCTCAGCAGAAACCCTACAAGCCAGAAGAGAGTGGGGGCCAATATTCAACATCCTTAAAGAAAAGAACTTTCAACCCAGAATTTTACATCCAGCCAAACTAAGTTTCATAAGCAAAGGAAAAATAAAATCTTTTGTGAACAAGCAAGCACTCAGAGATTTCATCACCACCAGGCCTGCTTTACAAGAGCTTCTGAAAGAACCACTACAAATAGAAAGGAACAACCAGTATCAGCCTTTCTAAAAAATACCAAAAAATAAAGAACATCAACATAATTAAGAAATTGCATCAACTAATGGGCAAAACAGCCAGCTAACATTAAATGACAGTATCAAACACACATATATAGACCCATTGGTATGCTACATCCAGACCCATCTCACATGCAAGGATACACAAAGACTCAAAACAAAGGGATGGAGAAAAATTTACCAACCAAATGGAGAGCAAAAATAAATAAATAGAAAGCAGGAGTTGCAATTTTTGCTGATAAAATAGATTTCAAAGCAACAAAGATCAAAAGAAGCAAAGAAGGATATTACATAAAGATAAAAGGATCAACGTAACAAGAAGAGCTAAAGATCCTAAATATATACGCACCCAATACAGAAATACCCAGATATATAAGACTTATAAAGAGACTTGGACTCCCACACAATAATAGTGGGAGACTTCAACATCAATATTAGATAGATCAATGAGACAGAAAGTTAACACCGATATTGAGGACTTGAACTCAGGTTCGGAACAAGTAGACTTAATTAACATTCATAGAACTCTCCACTTTAAATACACAAAATATACACTCTTATCAGTACTACATCACACGTATTTACAGGTTTAAATGAAATATTGGTTGGCTGCTTGTTAATATTTTCTTCCCTCATTTTTTTTTTTATGTCTCTATTATTAAACACAATTACAGGCATACCCGGTTTTAGACTGCATTCTAGACCGGGCAATAAAGCAACACCCCTGTTCTCTCTCCCTCTTCCTCTTCCTCTTTCTTCCTTTCCTCTATTCTTTTTCTTTATCTTTTTCTTTCTTTCTCTCGTTCTTCCTCTAAAAAAAAAAAAAAAAAAAAAAAAAAAAAAAAAAAGGAAAGCTCATAGTAGGCCATCACCTCTGGAAGGAAAACATGCAAAATGGCACCAGTGCCCACCTAAGAGATGTCTGACACTCAGATTGAACCCCAAAGGAGGGTGCCCCCAGGGGATCCTCCAGACCTCAACCTCTCCAAAAAGGACACCCTCACCACAGGTTCTGACGTCTAGTACTAAGCTCTCCTCAGAATTTTCTCTCACAGTTGCAATACTGTTTGGCCCCAATATTGTTTGGAACCTGGAGTTTGCTGCTGAATGGGAAAGTGGGATGAGTTGCATGTTATCTAGGCTTGTGCTGTTATTCTAAGCAGGGCCAGGCCTGGCTAGTATGGATGTTCTCCTTTGGTGCTGATTGGCCCCAGTGTTCTTTGGAATCTGGGGAGGTTTGGTCTTTAAAAATCAAACTGCCATGAAAACTGCTTTACCCAGCCGGGCGCGGTGGCTCACGCCTGTAATCCCAGCACTTTGGGAGGCCGAGGCGGGTGGATCACGAGGTCAAGAGATCGAGACCATCCTGGTCAACATGGTGAAACCCTGTCTCTACTAAAAATACAAAAAATTAGCTGGGCATGGTGGCGCATGCCTGTAATCCCAGCTACTCAGGAGGCTGAGGCAGGAGAATTGCCTGAACCCAGGAGGCGGAGGTTGCGGTGAGCCGAGATCGCGCCATTGCACTCCAGCCTGGGTAACAAGAGCGAAACTCCGTCTCAAAAAAAAAAAAAAAAAAAAAAACTGCTTTACCCAAAATTTGGGTTCACAGCCTTCATTGGATTACCTCTTGGGGCAAACAAAGTAAAACCAGTGAGCTTGTATTGCTATCTCATGGCTAGATTTCCAAGGTAAAAGCTATTGGATCTCTGTTGGCGTGTGTGTATACATGTCTGATGTGTTTATTCATATGTACACTTACTGTTATACATTGTATCCACCAAATTAGCTTATAAGAGTGTTCCTAAATAAAAGTAAATAAGTCTAAGGAGTTGTCAAGTTCATGTGACTTAAGTGTAACTTTACTAAAAAAACTGGCTTTAAAAATGTTGGTAAAGTAAAAATAGAAGCGCCTTCAGAATTTTCAGCATAGGTTTTTGTCTGGATTTTATATATGTCTCTGATAGGTAGTTTGAGGTGTCAGGGTGTGGCATAGAAGGTTATACAACTATAAACCTACCCAAAACAAAATGATCTTTCTGCAGACTTTTTGATAAGTAAGACTACTTATGTTATTGGTTTAATGAAAAGAGCTGAATCTTCTGAGTTACTGGTGAAAATGCCTATGTAGTTAACTTTGAGGTTCTGATTTCGGTGAATACCTGATATTCACAGATTACAAAATGATTATTGAGCCTACAGTTTAAATATGGTTTGTTTGGCTTCCCTAAGTCTTGTGCTAAAATTTGATCCCCAGTGTTGGAGGTGAGGCCTAGTGGGAGATGTCTGGATCATGGGGGCAGATCTTTTATGAATGTGCTGGTGCTATTCTCATGAGAATGAATTTTCACTCTCAGTTCTCGTGAGAACTGTTTGTTGAAGAAAACCCTGAAACTCTTTCTCACCATGTGACATGCCAGTTCCTTCTACCATGAGTGGAAGCAGCCTGAGGCCTTCAGCAGAAGTAGAAGCCAGAATCATTATTGCTGTACAGCCTGCAGAACTGTGAACCAAATAAAATTCTATTCTTAATAAGTTACCCAGCCTCATGTATCCCATTATAGCAAGATTGTCCAGCCATGGCCCGTGACCTGCATGTAGCCCAGGATGGCTTTGAATGCAGCCCAACACAAATTCATAAACTTTCTTAAAACATTATGAGATTTTTTTGCAATTTTTTTTTTTAGTTCATCAGCTATCATTAATGTTAGTGCATTTTATGTGTGGCCCATGACAATTTTTCTTCTTCCAATGTGTCCTAGGGAAGCCAAAAGACTGGACACCTCTGCTTTATAGCAACACAAATGGAGTTGGATCCCTTCCTTTATCTCTCTGGGTATGTCTATGCTCTACTCTCATGGTTCACCACAGCACATGTAATCCCAGATTGCAATCCTCTGTCATTCATTCTCTAATAAACTCTTTTCTTTGAAGAGCCCCTCTCTTTGTTGTTATTTTTGATTGATATAATCATCCCTAACTCCTTTCTTTTCATCTCATTCCATGTCTGGTCTGTTAATAAATCCTGTTGACTTACCCTTTAATATATGTCCAGAATCTGACCACTTCATAATACCTCCATCACTGCCATCCTAGTCTACCATCACCTCTTACTGTCCAAGGTCAGGAATATAAAACACTGAATGGAGACGTATCTATTGGCTGCTGTGGTACAGGGAAAAGTGATGGTGTTGACCCACCCATCTGTTTAAAACCCCTCAGCAGCCTTGTATGGCCCGTAGAATAAGCAAGCCACCCATGAACTGGCTTTTGCCTCTCCCTAAACTTATTGCTGCCAAAATCCGGCTATGTTCCTGTCCTGAGGAACAAATAGGAGTCATTCCCTGCTCTTTTAGGCCTCTGATCCTTTATGTGCCAGATCCAGGAAAATTTTCAGGACCTCACCATCTTACATATTCTCCAGGAAGACTTCCACACATTCCCAATCTCCCTTGACCAGCTATACCTCCACCTATGCACTCAAATGTGAGTCCACTATGTCCTTTCTGCCACAGAATTTCCCACAATGCAATGTTGTTCTCTATCTCCTCTGCTGGATTTGGAGCTCTCTAAAGTCAAGGACTGCTGTGGTTTAGATGTTTGTCCCCTCCAAATCTCATGTTGAAACATGATCTTCATTGTTGGTGGTGGGGCCTGGTGGAAGGTGCTTGGGTCATGGGGGAAAATCCCTTTTGAATGGCTTGGTGCCCTCCCCATGCTAATGAATGAATTCTCACTCTGCTTATTCATGCAAGAGTTGGTTGTTTAAAGGAGCCTGGCATCTCCTCCTCTCTCTCCTGCTCCCTCTCTTGCCATACGACACACCTGCTCCCCTTCAACTTCTGCCATGAGTAAAAGCTTCCCGAGGCTTCTCCAGAAGCTGAGAAGATGCCGGTGCCATGCCTGTAGAACCTACAGAACCATGAGCCAAATAAACCTCTTTTCTTATAAATTACGCAGCTTCAGGTATTCCCTTACAGAAATGCAAAACTGACCAACACAAGTCAGGAGCCATTCATTGCTGCCTCCCTTAATGCTAGGCCCAGACCTGGGATCAAATAGACACTGAGTATTTCATAAAAAGATGCATGGATAAAGAGTGTGCCTAAGGCTGGCAACAGTGGCTGGCACCTGTAATCCCAGTTACTGGGGAGGCTAAGACGAGAAGATCGCTTGAGGCCAGGAGTTCTAGACCAGCCTGGGCAACACAGCAAGACTTTCATTTCTAAAAAAAATCTCTAAAAATTTTCTGATTACTGTCATGTGTACCTGCAGTCCCAGCTACTTGGGAGGCTGAGACTGGAGTATTGCTTGAGTCTAGGAAGTCTAGGCTGCAATGAGCTATTATCATGCCACTACACTCCAGCTTGGGCGATAGAGTGAGACCCTGTCTCTAATTTTTTTTTAAGCGTGCCTTTGTGCATCAAAAGACACAATAAACAGAGTGAAAAGGCAACCTGCAAAATGGGGAAAATATCTATAAATCATATATTTGATGAGAAGTTAATATCCAGAACTACAACTCGATAACAACAACAACAAAACTCAATTAAAAATGAAGGACTCAAATAGATACTTCTCAAAGAAGACATACAAACAGCTAACAAGCATATAAAAAGATGCTTAACATCATTAATCAGGAAAATGAAAATCCAAATCACCTTACATACATTAGGATGGCTACAAACAAAAAATCTGAAAACAACATGTTTGGAAGGACATGGAAAAATTGAAACCCTTGTGCACCGTTGGTGGAAATGTAAAATCGTACAGCTGCTATAGAAAACAATATGGCAGTTTGTCAAAAATTAAAAATAGAATTATCATATAATCCTGTAAACCCACTTTTGGGTAAATACCCTAAGTAACTGAAAGCCTAGTCTGGAAGAGATATTTATACACCCATGTTCATAGCAGCATTGTTCATAGTAGCTAAAAGATGGAAGCAACTCAGGCATCCAACAGACAAAATATAATATATACATAGAATGGAACATTATTCAGTCTTCACAAGAAAGGAAATTCTAATATATTCTAGAGCAAGGATAAATCTTGAAGGTCTTCCACTCTGCTAAGTGAAATTAAGTCAGCCACAAAAAGACAAATGCTGTATGATCCCAATTATATGAGGTACCTGGAACAGTCAAATCCATAGAGACAGAAAGTAGAATGGTGGTTTCCCAGGGCTGGGGGTAGTACGGGACGGAGAGTTGTTGTTTAATGGGTACAGAGTTTCAATTTTACAAGATTACGAGTTCTGGAAATGGGTGGCAGTGATGGCTGCACAATGCATATGTATATAATTCTACTGAATTGTACAGTTAAAAATTATTAAGATGGTAAATTTTATATGTATTTTACCCATATTAAAAACAACAAAAAAAGGATTGTCTCTGCTGTCCTGCCCCAGATGGCCCCACTGCAGAGGTGGGAAAGCTCAGCAAGGGTGTTTTGGGGAGAAGGACATTATTGATTGGGCCCTGGGGCAGCAAGGAGGAGCACCTGGAGAAATGAAACTTAACACAGGCTGTGAGGGCTCTGGGGCCAACAGGCAGGGCACAGGCAGTGGACTGTGGAAACAGGCAAGCCTGAGCATGTACCTGCTGGAGCCAGGAGCCGGAGCCAGCAGACCTCTGCAAAAACCACAAGGCCAACATGAACCTACGCCATCCAGTTAGACACAACCTAGCACTGGGAGACACCTGAGAGCGACCTAATCCTACTCTTGCATTTTGAAACAAACCAACTGAGGCCCAGAGACAAGAAGTGCAGCACCTCATCTCCTGTCATACGCTGTGCCCCTTTTCTGACGTTGCAGGTGGTAGAGACTCCATCAGGGCCATATGCCTTCATAATGACAATTTAGAAGTCTGAGCCAAGCAGTAGGGTGGAGTGGGATGAAGCAGAGGGACTGAGATTCCTACAAGACAGTATCAATGGCAACTCCTTTCCCACTTCCTATGGCTCTAGATGACCTCTCAGTGGCAACGTGAAGGTACTCGGTGCACAGACCCATGGCCATCACTGTCTTTCCCAAAAACAGAGCATGTAAAATCGAAAGTGCTCTGCCTGATAGGTGACATATGGTAGTTCAGAGCCCCGCGCCCTGTCCTATAGCGGTTTGTGGGCCACTTCCAGAATGCCCCCAAATCTGCACAGACCACAGCTTTTAAAGTTAATGACTTTGCATGGGTCCCTAATCTCCATGGTTCTGTTCTTCTCTAACATTCTGTCTGTCCTATGCCCACTATGCCCCTACCCAGCCCAGGTTTTAGGCCTTGAGGGAAGCGTAGGTTGGGACCAGGCCAGTTGCTCTCAAAGGCTCAGGGTAAGGATGGGCTTGAGCCCCTTCCCAAGCAGACACTCACCACTGATCACCATGCAAGCAGCCCTGGATGAAGGTGAAGAAAATGCTGTGTGTGGAGTCCCTGTTGCTCCCTCCCCTCTCCCACTTCCCAGACCCCTATTCACCTTAAGACAGTAGTTTCCTGAGAGCGCAGAGCAGTCTCCACAGTCCCGAGTGTGGTGAGGTTGCTGAGGAATCCGATTTCAGATGGCTAAATAGCCTCACCCTGAATGAAGTACAATTCCAGATGTCAAATGGAGACAGTGAGTCAGTCTCATACTCATAAGATAAATCAACCAAGACTTGGTGCTAATTAAATCTGACCCTTGGCTTGCTAATGTAAGGATGGGCTGGCCCTATTCAGGAAAATCCAATTCCAACACATCCCAATACCAGGAGCGTTACTTTTCCCCTCAAAATGCCCTTCTTGGATATGTGAGGAATTCACAATCCTCCTTTTCATAATGACTGCATTTCTTATGAACTTTATTTTGTATGGAGAACATCCCTCCACCCCACACACAATATTTACAGTATGAAACATTCTACGTTAGTTGACAAATGGCATGGAGCCCTACTCCTTTATTTGTGATAAGCAGGAAGTCAGCATGGATTGGTGGCTAATGGCATGATCTCTGACCAGTGGCCCTGATTGAAATCCTTATAGCTGTGGCCTTGGGGCAAGTTAATTAACCTTGATGTGCCTTAGTTTGGTGACAAATAGGGACTTAGTAGATATGTACCTTTTTTTTTTTTTTTTTTTTTTTTTTTTTTTTTTTTTTTTTTTTTTTGCATTTGCGCGTTTCTGTCCTTTCCCCTACTGGAAACAAGGATGCGACTATCTTTTTCTCTTGGGTCAGTGCTCAGGAGTTTGATAAATATGTTTTGAATGAAAAAATGAATGAAGAGAAAAAAGAGGAAAGAAAGAGTCTTAGTGTGAAGTCCGGGGAGAGATGAATACAGAAAATGAAAAAAGGGGCAGAATCAGGGGTGGGAAAGGCCCTCCGCTTGGGATACCCTCTAATGTCCTGGAAATGGGGCTGTGTCCCTTGTGCAAGACAAAGAAAGGAGGAAAACTGTACCCTGCACCCCAACCCCAGTCCTGTTTAGTTTTGGAACACTGCCAAATAATTCAGCAAAAGACCTTGCTGATAAAGCAGCATGATGTAAAGAAGCCAGCCCAAATCCACGAAAACCTAGATCGTGACAGAAGTTACCTCTGTCACTCTGGGAATTGCCCACCACCCCTATCCCAGAAAATTCATGAATAAGCCACCCCTTGTTTCACATGCAATCAAGATACAACTGTAAGTATTATCAGTCCAGCAACCCAAAATGCTGCTTTGTCTATGGAGTAGCCATTCTTTTATTCCTTTACTTTCTTAATAAGCTTGCTCTCACTTCACTCTGGATTCACCTGAAATTATTTCCTGTGGGAGGTCCAAGCACCCTCTCTTGGGGTCTGGATTGGGACCCTTTTCCTGGTGAACCATGCAAGGACAATATGGAGGAGGCCCTTAATCCAAAGGAAATAGACTGCAACACCAATTGGCTGACTTTGGGTAAGTGGTACATTTTACCTGGGTAAAGAATGAGATTGGGTTAGAAGCCCAACTTAGGGGAGTTAGAGTTTCTCCTAAGACAGAGTGGGTTAAAGGCCCCTCTTAATAAAAGGCAAGGATGTTTGATCAAACTCGTGTTGGAGGCCCAATTTAGGAGGGTTAGAGTCCTTCCTAAGATTTAAGGGGTTAGAGGTCCCTCTCAGTAAAGTCCCTCTTTGTTAAAAATGGATTTGGCACTAACAAGATACTGCTATTCTCTTTGGGTTAATTTGCCATGCACTCTTTGCTGATGGCTGTGGGTGGCAGGATTAAGCATGTACAACATCATGGGACATGGGGACCTTTTTTTCTCCCTAAAGGGGGAAACTTGAGAGCTGATCCCTTCAGGATGACAAGTGGCCACCTGAATTTTTGAGTCAGTGTTGCTGCAATGGATGGGTCTTTCTCTGGCCTCCCTGAGCTCTTCACCTTCTGCACCCTGCCCCAGGCAATGCTTTCCTCTCTCTTGCTTTCCTTTCCCTTTCCTATATTTTCTTGTACTCAGGGCAACCATTTTGCCCAGGGACCGCATGTTGAAACTCCTGGTCAGAGGTCCTTGAAACAAACAAAAAAACTGGATGAGGTTTCCCTGTCATTTTGTTTTATGTCCTTGGGAGCTTCACCTTGTAATCACATGGTGATATTTTCTCTTGGTCTATGCCATTCAGGGGACAGGACCCTGAAGCCCATAATCCAATTAAGAAACTGGCAATAAAAAATTTTACAACTACTGGATCTTCTTCTGTCTGTCTGTGTATTTACATGTGTTACATATGTAATGTTTATATGAAAGAGCTCTGATTAATTGGCTTAAATAAAATATTTTGTCAGAAACATAAAAATGTAACTCCTCTTAGTTCATGTGACTTATGTAATCTTTGGGAAATAAAGATAGTTTTTAAAATCATAGGTAAAATAAGAATGTCTTCAAAACAAAGACATTAGACAGGTCAGATATTAGGTTTGCTAAAGACTTTAAGGTCATAAACTGCTTCTTGGATTCTTGAAAATTTTTCAACTTATCTGCTTTGGAGCCATTTGATTTTAGGTAAGGCCTGGGGACATTTGGTGGAGTTAACCATGGCCCTGGCTATGCTGAAGTCAGACCCTATTTTTATTTCTGCCTGGTGTCCTGGGCTCCATACCTAGCTAGTACACAATCAAAAGTGCTTACTTGCCAGGTTTTTCACCAAAAATTAAAAAGTTCCTAAGAGTTAACAGTACTTGAGACTGTTAACATGTACTTGATACTACTGGAGAAACAGTTTTGTATGCAAGGTGTGTAAGGAAAGTAAAATGTGTTTTTGATAAAAGGTTATAAGATGGCTTGGGAATGTGGATTTTTTTTTTTTTTTTGCCTAAGTTAAAAGGTTAAAGGATTGTTTTAAGTTATATAGGAAAAAGCTGAAGGTTTGAGCAAATTGTAGAAGGTTAATCTTGTAAAAAAAATTCCGTGTGAAAATATTGGCTAAAGTGAAAGGGTTTTTGCATTAGTCCTTTCTGATGCTGCTGATAAAGACATACCCAAGACTGGGTAATTTACAAAGAAAAAGAGGGCTGGATGTGGTGGCGGTGGCTGACGCCTGTAATCCCATTGCTTCAGGAGGCCGAGGCAGGTAGACCACGAGGTCAAAAGATTGAGACCATCCTGGCCAACATGGTGAAACCCGGTCTCTACTGAAAATACAAAAATTAGCTGGGCACGGTGGCAGACACCTGTAGTCCCAGCTATTTGGGAGGCTGAGGCAGGAGAATTGCTTGAACCCAGGATGTGGAGGTTGCAGTGAGCTGAGATTGCATCACTGCACTCCAGCTTGGTGACTGACAAAGTGAGACTCTATCTCAAAAAAGAGAAAGAGAAAAGAAAAAGAGATTTAATGAACTCAGAGTTCCACATGGCTAGGGAGGTCTCACAATCATGGTGGAAGAGGAAAGGTACAACTTACATGGAGGCAGGCAAAGGGCAAATGAAAAGCCAAGCAGAAAGGAAAACCCCTTATAAAATTATCAGATCTCATGAGACTTAATTCACTACCATGAGAACAGTATGGGGGAACCTGCCACCATGATACAATTATCTCCCACTGGGTCCCTCCCATAACACATGGGAATTATGGGAGCTACAATTCAAGATCAAATTTGGGTGGGGACACAGTTAAACCATATCAGGTATTCTTCAATTGTTCTGTAAATTGAATATTGGAATAAAAGCACAACAGGGTTTTCCTTAGAGAACTGATCTCTTTAGCAAAAATTTGTAAAGGGTTATAAAAGGTATAAGAGAATCTTGCCTTATGGTCAAGCTGATTAAGATTGATTTGTCTATAAGGTTTTATTAAGAATTGAGTTTGACATCAATAGCACACAAATGTAAAGGGTGAAATTTGGCTTTCTCTTTTAAACAAGATTTCCATGTTGGCTTTTTTTTTTTTTTTTTTGAGATGGAGTCTCACTCTGTCACCCAGGCTGGAGTGTAGTGACACAATCTCAGCTCACTGAAACCTCCACCTCCTGGGCTCAAGCAATTCTCCTGCCTCAACCTCCTGAGTAGCTGGGATTACAGGTGCTTGCCACCATGCCTGGCTAATTTTTTTGTATTTTTAGTAGAGATGGGGGTTTCACCATGTTGGCCAGGCTGGTCTCAAACTCTTGACCTCAGGTAATCCACCCACCTCAGCCTCCCAAAGTTCTGGGATTACAGCCGTGAGCCACCACACCCAGCCAATTTTCACGTTATATTTTAAAAAATGAAAGATTTTTGTTTGCCTTTTGAATAAACTATAGACAAAAAAAGGGAAAGGAAAGAGATTGTCTGGAGAGCTACATCTTCCCTCTGTTAATGAGTGAAGGTTTTGCCTTTTAAAAAATTCCGAGTTATTGTTTCAGCTAAGTAAATGACTTATGGTGACCTGCAGTTTGGTTTTATAATATCAAATGTTTTAAATCTTTGATATTTGACAAACTTTCCAAAATCAAATTATAAATTATGTCTTCTTCTGATCTCCTAATTAATCTTTTAGCTATTAGGTCTCCTAAAGTTCAAAAATGACATATCTGGCTTATTTGGTATAACAATCATACAGGAAGCATGGTTAAATAGTGAGGTGTTTGGCTTTCTTTGGGCTGTATCTGTATAATTAAAGTTATTGGTATGTCCTCCAAAATTGTGGAAAACTTATATAATCATCATATGACTTAGTGTATATTATTAATGGTTATAATTGTTATATTAAATTGTTGAATGCCATAGAAGGAACCAAAATTCCTAGCCAATTGCGGCTGTAATAGTGGCTGTTCCAAAACTTTTTGTCATCCACAGGCAATTGTTATCTCCTTAATTAGCTATAGGATTTTGACAGATGCTTTTAAATGCAGGTTTTTGATAACTTTGAACATTGTGACATTAGAATAGAGAAAATCTTTCAGGACTTTTATGGAGAGCTGAAATGTTCATGAGCATCAAACAGAACAGGAGTTAACTGCATGAACTAAACTAATAGAAGTCTGAAACAATCTTTTTGACTTTTTGCTTAAAACGTTGCTGATCTTTTACAGAGCCAAAAAACTGTTATTTTAAGCTATTTACAACTTTTGATAATTGAGTAAAGTATACTCCTGTAAACAAAATTTGGAGTATATTTGCTTCTCTACCTGATTTCTCCAGAATTTGGAAACTGTATATTCTTAATTTACATCAATATAGCTATCTGCGTAAGTACAATAAGAATCCATTTTATTTTGCAACTGGACACAATTGGAGTCTATGCTCCATGGCTATTTTACCAAGGCTTTGACTGTAATGATATACTTTCCTTTAAGGAATGAAACTTGACTTACAGAGCCAATAAAAGCCCCTTGGGAAAACTAGCCTCATACCTTGCCTACACAGTCACTGTACAGGGTTCCTGACCAAAGAATGTCACTTTCCGATGGGCCCGGAAGCCCCAACTTACCTTGAAATCTCTTAAGAAGAATTCACCCAAACCCATAAGTATTTGTTACCAACCCATGGCTGGACTCAGCTTTAAAAAAGTCTTGGCTGGGTGCGGTGGCTCACGCTTATAATCTCAGCACTTTGGGAGACAAGGCAGACAGATTATGAGGTCAATAGATTGAGACCATACTGGCCAACATGGTGAAACCCCATCTCTACTAAAAATACAAAAATTAGCTGAGCACAGTGGCACATGCCTATAGTCTCAGCTACGTGGGAGGCTGAGGCAGGAGAATTGTTTGGACCCAGGAGGCAGAGGTTGCAGTAAGCCAAGATCATTCCACTGCACTCTAGCCTGGCGACAGAGCGAGACTCCATCTTAAAAAAAAAAAAAAAAAGGCTTATCTGAGATTCCTTTTATGAAAGATAATTCCATCAAAGCCAATTTAAAAAGCCTATGTGAAATAGAATCATTCTTACTTCACTGTATACAAATAATCAGGCCAAGTATAATAAACCAAATCTGTCATGATTATGATATGTTTTAAATAAAAATGAGGACTGGAGAGAGAAAAGTTATGTTTCAAAAACTATGGTACACCTGTTATTAAATTCTAGTCTCATCAGTTGTTTTTGCATATTTGTCTGCGATTTAAACTGACCCTGCTTTTTCCTGTGAACCAATCAGTGATCTCTGGCTGCAGCTCAGAGGAAACAAGGGGGATGGGTAATGTAAAAATCTAGATCAATAGTCTAATTCTGGGCACATATTGGAATCAGCTAGAGACCCCATATCAGCTTGGTTCCAACAATTGCCCAGTTCCTGGAAAGCCTTCTTATTTAGTTTACTTGGAATAATTTTGCTTACTTTACTTTACTGTTGTGGAGTATATTGCTGCTGTACTCTTTGTATAGAAATGTAGAGTGAGCTTACTCAATGTTTTCTTAAATTGAACACTTAATTAATCTTCCAGATATCACCTTTTTATGGAACTCAAGAGTTATGAATGGTCCTTGCCATACCAATACTTTCTGCCTGAGCTCCACTCTACCCTAAATACAAGAGACCCTAATAGTTAGGCAGAAAAATCATTGCCCCTATTCAGCCTGAAGAAGTTACAGAAGATGGATCTACATACCCCTACAACCCTTAATCCTAAGGTCCCTTGTAAAAGGAAGGGGGGAAAATATGTCAGAAGCATTTGAACCAGAGTGACTTCATCTTGAATAGGAGCTGGGTAAAGTACTGAGACCTACTGGGCTACATTCCTAGGAGGTTATGCATTCTTGGTCACAGGAAGAGATGGGAGATGGGCACAAGATACAGTTCACAAAGACCTTGCTGATAAAATAGCATGCAGTAAACAAGATGGCCCAAACTCACCCAAAGCAAGATGGTGACGAGAGTGACCTCTGGTCATCCTCATTGCTCATTATATACTAACTATAATGCATTAGCATGCTAAAGACACTCCCAGCAACACCATGACCATTTACAAATGCCATGGCAACATCAGGAAGTTACCCTATACAGTCTAAAAGGGGAAGGAATCCTCAGTTCCAAAAACTGCCCATCCCTTTCCTCGAAAACTCATTAATAATACACTTGTTTAGCATATAATCAAGAAATAAGTATAAGCATTATCAGTCAAGCAGCCGACGCTGCTGCTCTGACAATGGAATAGCCATTCTTTTATTCCCTTACTTTCTTAATAAATTTCCTCTCACTTTATGGATTCACCTTATATTTTTTCTTGGGTGATAACCGAGAGCCCTCTCTTGGGATCTGGATCAGGACCTCTTTCCAGTAACAGCTGCAGTGGGTCATGACCCAACCACTGCATTCCAGCCTAGCCAACAGAGCAAAACCCTGCCTGTAAAAATGAAAGTAAAAATAGCACCATGAACAAAGTCCCTCTTGGTTAAAAATGGATTTAACATGAAGGTTAAGAGACAGGTGACCTACTGAGGAGAAAACAAAACAAACAAAATAATACCTTTGCACAATTAATATCCCCAACTCAAAGACAGTTTCTCTTATGAATCAATTTTTAAAAGGAACTGCCTTTATAAAGGAACTCTGAAGACTAGAAGAGACAGCTCCCAAATGACAGAATTACACATGACTAATGAACATTTAAAAATATGGCCAATCTTACTAATAGTAAAAGAATTGTTTATAGGAGGGAACATTTTGTAAGTGTGTCACCTGCATCTATTAGCCAGAGTACAGTTGCAGATAACAGAAGTCACTCCAGACAACTTAAGCAGAGTGGGTTTTGATACAGGGAATTAGGTGACTATAAGATTGTTCTAGGATTGGAGGAGGAGGGTCTAGGCTAATGTTCCAGGAATGGCCCCACCCCCAGAATGGGGCCCCACCCTAGAAGTGGGCCACCAGGAATGCTTCAGCCAGTGCCATGATCACAAAACTGGGATATTGGGAAGCCATTGCCACACCTGTTGGCTCTGGGGCATCTATGCCAGTAAAATGATGCCCCACTTCTGCATCTCACACAATAAGGTAAGAAGTGGATTCTGGGACTCTGCTTCTGCTACTGCAGAAAACCAAGTCCCCACTACAACATTTGGCAGTAGAAGAAGCAGAAGCACAGCCCCAGTGACCCTTCCACTTTCCCATCCTTGCACAGGGGAGTCAGCTTGGCACAATTCAGATCATTTAAGAACCAGCTTATGGGGAAACCAGGGGCATAGAGTCATCAGCTTTCTATCCTTGAGGTTTCACAGCTGAGTATGAAACAGAGCTGAGTGACTGCGTCCTTGTGATCTGCCTCAGGAAGCAAATAACTGGCACACGCAGTGTTTGCATGGGGCAAGGAACAATGATTCTCATTCACTGCTGGTTATGGTGTGTTCTAACCCAAACTTTCTAGTCAGCAATTTGACACCATGTGGTGAAAGTTCATTTGGTTCAGAAATTTTACTTCTTTGAATTCATCACAAGAAAAGAACCAGAGATGTGCACAAATATCTGCACACGAATATTGATCGCAGTGTTTTTGATGACACTATCAAAGCAGTCAGAGTCAAAATGGAGTTGCTTGTGTTTAAAAAAACAACACCCAAACTCTCACAGAGTTGGGGACGCCCATGAAGAGAGGGTTCTAATGCTTTTGTATGCCTGAGAACAAAACCATCATCTGCAAAAATTGCAATCTTGCACAAAGGCCATCACAGTCTTACACAAAAAATAATTCTGTGAGCTTATCTGCACAGAAACTGCCTGCCCAACCTCGGACTGGTGTCACCCTTGCTATTAATTCTTGCAGCTAAAGATGGTTATTTCAAAACAATTACATAATTGTCTTCACTTTTCCTTTGTCTTCCTCTACATCCTTGAATATGTACATAGTTTACTATGGCATGAATTTTCCCACTGCAATGTCCTATTCTCAAATAAATATCATTTTCTTTATATATATGCCACAAATTTACCTCTGAGAATAATGATATTATACATAAGTTCATTTATATATCAAACTATGTTTGAGACAAAAGAATCTATCAAATCTTCTGGAATGACAGCTTTTAAAGGTCCTTTTATGTTTCTAGTCTAGTTCAAAAGGCTTAGAGGTCCTCTTCCTGCCACTTGCTGATGTTTTTAGTAACGTTATTCAGTAATTTGTTCACATTTTATTATTGACTGTCATTTTCTTTTTTTTTTTTTAATTGTACTTTAGGTTCCGGAGTACATGTGCGGATCATGCAGGATTGTTGCATAGGTACATACATGGCAAGGTGGTTTGCTGCCATCATCCCCCAATCACCTATATCTGGTATTTCTCCCCTCGTTATCCCTCCCCACCCTCCCCTTCCCCCACTATCCCTCCCCTACCCCCCCAACTGACCGCAGTATGTGATGCTCCCCTCCCTGTGTCCACGTGTTCTAATAGTTCAACATCTGCCTATGAGTGATAACATGTGGTGTTTGGTTTTCTGATCTTGTGTCAGTTTGCTGAGGATGATGGTTTCCAGATTCATCCATGTGCCTATGAAGGACACTAACTCATCATTTTTTATGGCTGCATAGTATTCCATGGTGTATATGTGCCACATTTTCTTTATCCAGTCTATCGTTGATGGACATTTGGGTTGGTTCCAGGTCTTTGCTATTGTAAACAGTGCTGCAATGAACATATGTGTACATGTGTCTTTATAATAGAACAATTTATAATTCTTTGGGCATATATCAGTAATGGGATTGCTGGGTCAAATGCTATTTCTATTTCTAGGTCTTTGAGGAATCGCCACACTGTCTTCCACAATGGTTGCACTAATTTGCACTTCCACCAACAGTGTAAAAGTGTTCCTATTTCTCCACATCCTCTCCAGCATCTGTTGTCTCCAGATTTTTTAATAATTGCTATTCTAACTGGCATGAGATGGTATCTCAATGTGGTTTTGATTTCCATTTCTCTAATGACCAGTGATGATGAGCATTTTTTCATATGTTTATTGGCCTCATAGATGTCTTGTTTTGTAAAGTGTCCATTTATATCCTTCACCCACTTTTGAATGAGTTTATTTTTTTCTTGTAAATCTGCTTTAGTTCTTTGTAGATTCTGAATATTAGCCCTTTGTCAGATGGGTAGATTGCAAAAATTTTTTCCCATTCTGTTGGTTGCCAGTTCACTCTAATGATTATTTCCTTTGCTGTACAGAAGCTGTGGAGTTTAATTAGATTCCATTTGTCTATTTTGGCTTTTGTTGCCATTGCTTTTGGTGTTTTAGCCATGAAGTCCTTGCCTATGCCTATTGTCCTGAAAGGTTTTGCCTCGGTTTTCTTTTAGGGTTTTTATGGTGTTAGGTCTTATGTTTAGATCTTTAATCCATCTGGAGTTAATTTGAGTGTAAGGTGTCAGTAAGGGGTCCAGTTTCTGCTTTCTGCTAGCCAGTTTTCCCAACATCATTTATTAAACAGGGAATCTGTTAGCCAGTTTTCCCAACATCATTTATTAAGCAGGGAATCCTTTCCCCATTGCTTGTTTTTCTCAGGTTTGTCAAAGATCAGATGATTGTAGATGTGTGGTGTTGCTTCTGAGGCCTCTGTTCTGTTCCATCGATCAATGTCTCTGTTTTGGTACCAGTACCATGCTGTTTTGATTACTGTGGCCTTGTAGTATAGTTTGAAGTCAGGCAACATGATGCCTCCAGCTTTGTTCTTTTTGCTTAGGATTGTTTTGGTTATGCAGGCTCTCTTTTGGTTCCATATGAAGTTTGAAGTGGTCTTTTCCAGTTCTGTGAAGAAGGTCATTGGTAGCTTGATGGAGCTAGCACTGAATCTATAAATTACTTTGAGCTGTATGGCCATTTTCAAGATGTTGATACTTCCCAACCATGAGCATGGAAGGTTTTTCCATTGTTTGTGTCCTCTCTTATTTCATTGAGCAGTGAGTTGTAGTTCTCCTTGAAGAGGTCCTTTACATCCTTTGTTAGTTGTATTCCCAGGTATTTTATTCTCTTTGCAGCAATTGTGAATGGGAGTTCACTTCTGATTTGGCTCTCTTTTTGTCTGTTATTGGTGTATAGAAATGCTTGTGATTTCTGCACATTGATTTTGTATCCTGAGACTTTGCTGAAGTTGCTTATCAGTTTCAGGAGATTTTGGGCTGAGACGATGGGGTCTTCTAAATATACAATCATGTCATCTGCAAATAGAGACAATTTGGCTTCCTCTTTTCCTAACTGAACACCCTTTATTTCTTTTTCTTGCTTGATTGCTCTGGCTAGAGCTTCCAATGCTATGTTGAACAGAAGTGGTGAGAGAGGGCATCCTTGTCTTGTGCCAGATTTCAAAGGGATTCAGTAGAGCTGCTGCGTCCTTTATTTACTCAGGAAAATTAGGCCAGCTTCTGCAATGGCAGCTGCCCTTCCCCCCACCCCCGAGCTCGATCATTCCTGGTTGCTCTCTAACTGATATTCTGGGTGTGAAACTCTGGAGTGAGAGTCTTTAGCCTGCTGGGCTTTGTGCAGGGGGGACCTGTCCTGCCATATGGGCTATTTCCCTGATTTTCAGTTCCCCTTCTTTCTGGGGGGCTGGTGGCTCTGTCCAGCCAGCTTTCTGGCTTTCACGTCAGCCAATGCTTCCGCTTAGATCTATGCTGACAGCCCCAGTGCTGGCCGAAGTTGATACTCTGCCCTGTTCAGGCAGCTCACTGAGGCTTTTCAGTCTGGTGAAGATCTTCTGTTCCGTGGGTTGTAGAGGGCTTGGGTGGAGGGCTGTATCCGAACTGAAGTCCCAGAGTGGGAGATCCCCTCGTCTTCCAGTTGGTTGCACATACCTCCTGGGTGGGGCAGTGCCCCACCTTGCCTCAGCTTGCCCTATTTGGTTTATACCCACTGTCCAACCAGGCCCACAAAATGAAACTGGTACCTCATTTGGAATTGTGGAGACCACTCAGCTTCTGTGTCTCTCTCGCTGGGAGCTGCTTTCCAGAGCTGCCTCTTATTCAGCCATCTTGGGATCCTCCTTGACTCAATGTCATTTTCTTTTAGGGGGCTTTTCTCAGTTTGTTATTTAGTTTGACACAGCAAAAGTTTAAAGTAGCAAAAGCTGAATAAATAACTTTTATTTTTTGACATGGAGTCTCATTCTGTCACCCAGGCTGGAGTGCAGTGGCACGCTCTCAGCTCACTGCAGCCTGCACCTACCAGGTTCAAGTGATTCTCCTGCCTTAGCCTCCCAAATAGCTGGCATTACAGGTGCATGCCACCATGTCCAGCTAATTTTTGTACTTTTAGTAGAGACAGAGTTTCATCATGTTGGTCAGGCTGATCTTGAACTCCTGACCTCGTGATCCACCCACCTCAGCCACCCAAAGTGCTGGATTTACAGGTGTGAGCAAACTCGCCCGGCCAAATAAATAAAATTTTATACCTCCATATAAAGAATTATATATAGCCACTGATGATAGAGGCAGAAATGGCTTTACCTTGAAGCAAAAGAAGCCTGAGTTCAGGGACCCTTGCTTGCCCTGGCTCCTTCCAAGACCCTAAGAGCAGCTCTAGCCATTGTTCACATTATTGTTGTTGTTATTTGCAAAAGTAAGTTCTTCTAAGAGCAACTGATTAAGGCTGTTGTCTTTTAATTGCTTTCCAATCTGGCTTCCCTCTGCCATACTTCTCCTGGTTTGGGGTGACATTGTAGTGTTACTGGTATTTTGTATTATAACTCTCTTTGTTTAAGCTTTGTGCCCACCAATTATGTAAGCTTTAGGTACCGAAATAGCCTGGATCTGTCCCTGGTTATAGATTCATATTTATTGGCAATGGAGAATGGTTCATTAGGTATTGTTGAGTGAAAGAGGCAACCTATGAAACAGTGGTAAAGGAAGACTTCATTATATTAGGCCATTCTTGCATTGCTATAAAGAAATATCTGAGACTGGGTAATTTATTTAAAAATAGAGGTTTGATTGGCTCGCAGTTCTGCAGGCTTTACAAGAAGCATGGTGCTGGCATCTGCTCAGCTGCTAGGTAGGCCTCAGGAGGCTTACAATCATGGCAGAAGGTGGAAGGGGAGCAGGCACATCACAAGGTGAAAGCAAGAGCCAGAGGGAGTTGAGGGGAGGTGTCACACACTTTTAAACCACCAGATCTTGCATGAACTCAGAGTGACAGCTCACTTATTACAAAGGGGATGGCCCAAGCCATATATGAAGAACCTGCCCCCATTATCCAAACACCTTCCACCAGGCCCCAGCTCCAGCATTGGGGATTACAATTCAACTATAAGATTTGGGTGGAGACAAATATCCAAACTGTTTCACCCATGTAGAATGCTTATACATATGTATGTTTTTTGGTGCTAGATGAATTACAATGGCTCAGGCATAAGTCACTTTTACAATAAATGAAAACTTATTTTTACTGAAAAGCCTCAGCGAGCCAGAATGGTTCCCATTTAAGAAATAGTTGCAAATTAATTTTTTAATTAAAGTATAATTGTATTCTTGGTAGGGACAAAAAATTACTGGAAATGGGGATGAATGAATTTTCTGGGGTGATGGAAATGTTCTTTATCTTGTTTTGTGCCTCCCAAAGTGCTGGAATTACAGGTGTGAGCCACTGCACCCAGTTAACGTTATGGAGCTCCAAGCCAGGTCTGAGTCAGGTATGAGCTCTGTAGTATTAGCTGTGTGACTCTGGCAAATTAATCTTTCTGCATCTGTTTTCTCATCTATAAAATGAGAATAACATTAAAACAGTTTGTTTTAACTATTTTTAAAAATTAGAATATTGAGAAGAAGGGAAAAAACACCTATATTCCAACTACTGTAATGGAACCTTTGCCATCATTTTGCTCTTGGTTGGCCTCTCCCCCTCCCCTATTTTTAAAAATTAAAATAGAATCTAATTCTTTCCTTTTTCTTTTTTTTTTAAAGATGATATCTTGCTATGTTGCCCATGTGGACTCATACTCCAGAGCCCAAGTGATCCTCCCTCTTCAGCCTCCTAGATCGTTGGGACTACAGGGATGCACCAGTACACCTGGCTTAAACCAATTTCTTTTTAATTCATAATTTTAAAATCAAAATAATTTACTCAGCTCTTTATTTTGAAAAGTTTAAAACCTCAAAAAAGCTGAAAGAATAGTACCATGAACACTCACTCACATACCCTTACTTTAGCACCAATAATTCACCAATTATTAACATTTTGTCTCGTGTCCCCCTCTGTCATAATATGTTTTTCTTTTTTTTTCTGCAATCAGCTGATTGATTAGGGTGGTGGTTGTTGAAAAGGGAGGTGCTGTGGCAGTTTCTTAAAATAAGACAACAATGAAGTTTGCTGCATCAATTGACTCTTCCTTCCATGAAAGATTTCTCGTAGCATGTGATGCTGTTTGCTAGCATTTTATCCACAGTAGAATGTTCAAAATTGTAGTCAATCCTCTCAAACCCTGCCATTGCTTTATCAACTAAGTTTATGAACTATTCTAAATCCTTCATTGTTATTTCAACAGTGTTCCCAGCATCTTCACCAGGAGTAGTTTCCATCTCAAGAAACCACTTTCTTTGGTCATACATTAGAAAGAACTGCTCATCCATTCGAGTTTCTCATGAGATTGCCACAATTCAGTCCTATCTTCAGGCTCCGCTTCTAATTTTAGTTTTCTTGCTATTTCCAACCACATCTGCAGTTACCTCCTTCATTGAAGTCTTAAACTCTTCAAAGTCATCAATGAGAGTTGGAATCAACTTCTTCCAAACTCCTATTAATTTTGATGCTTTGACCTCTTTCCATGAATCACAAATGTTCTTAATGATATCTAGAATAGTGAATCCTTTCCAGAAGGTTTTCCATTTACTTTTCCCAGATCCATCAGAAGAATAACTATCTATGGCAGCTATAGCCCTACAAAATGTATTTCTTAAATAATAAGACTTGAAAGGCAAAATTACTTCTTGATCCGTGGGCTGCAGAATGGATCTTGTGTTAGCACACATGAAAACAACATTCATCTCCTTATACATCTCCATTAGAGCTCTTGGGTGACTAGGCACTTTTTCAGTCAGCAATGATACTCTGAGAGGGATCTTTTTTTCTGGGTGGTAGCCCTCAACAGTGGGCTTAAAATATTCAGTAAACCATGCTGTGAACAGATGTGCTGTTATCCAGGCTTTGTAATTCCACTTACAGAGCACCGGCAGATTACATTTAGGGTAACTCTTAAGAGACCTAAGATTTTTATAATAGAATGTAAACAAGCACTGGCTTCAATTTAAAGTCACTATCTGCATTAGCCTCTAACAAAAGAGTGAGCCTGGCCTTTGAAGCCAGACATTGACCTTTCTAGCTATGAAAGTCCTTGATAGCATCTTCTCCCATAGAAGGCTGTTTTGTCTACATTGAATATCTGTTGTTCAGTGGCCACCTTCATCAATGATCTTAGCTAGATCTTCCGGATAACTTGCTGCAGCTTCTCCATCAGCACTTGCTGTCTCATCTTACCCTTTTATGCTCTGGAGATGGCTTTTTTCCTTAAACCTCATGAAATAATCTCTTCTAGCTACAAACTTCTATAGCTTCCTTGCCTCTCTCAGCCATCATAGAATAGAATAGAATCAGGGCCTTGCTCTGGATTCAGTTTTGGTTTGAGGCGATATTGTAGCTGGTTTTATTTTCTATCCAAACCACTAACATTTTCTTCAAATAGGCAATAAACTGTTTCACTTTCTTATTATTTATGTGTTCACTAGAGTAAAATGTTTAATTTCCTTCAAGAACTTTTCCTTTGCATTCACAAACTGGCTTTTTGGTACAAACTTTCCACTTAGCTTTCAGCCTATCTTGCCTTCTGACATGTCTTCCTCACTAAGCTTAACCATTTCTAGTTTTTGAGTTAAAGTGAGAGACGCGCGACTCTTTCTTTCACTTGAACACTTAGAGGCCTATTGCAGGATTATTGATTGACCTAATTTCAATACTGTTGTGTCTCAGGGAATAGAGAGGCCCAAGGAAACGGAGAAAGAAGCGGGAACGGCCTGTCAGTGAATTAGAACACACACAACATTTATCAATCAAGTTTGTCATCTTATAGGGGCACAGTTCATGGCGCCCCAAAACAATTACAATACAAAGAACACTCATCACAGGTCACTCTTGTAGCAGAGCACATCTCCCTGTGATCTTTTTTTATCCCAGGTATTTACGAGCACTGTACCTAGGATGGACGCGTTCCTCCCCTTACTTTCGTAAATGCCCTACTCTTGTCAATGGGGTAGCTGTGCTTCCACCACTTTACTTAATAACCTTGCTTTTGCTTTGCTATGCGGACTCGCCCTGAATTCTTTCTTGCGCAAGATCCAAGAACCCTCTCTTGAGGTCTGGATCGGGACCCCTTGCCGGTAACAAAACTACACCAGGAATACAAGAAAACTTACGCTACTGAGCAGGAGCCGGCAAAGTCTCCAGTCTTTGGGAACACAGAATTTCGCCTGCTCCGCCTTTTCCGAAGCTGGGAGGAGCAAAGCTGGAAGAGGAGAGGCCCGTGGACGAACTCAGCTCTCCCACCGGCCAGGCAGCGTTCCTCAAGGCAGCCAATCAGGTAGCTGCATTTGCCATAGGGGCGGGACTTCCTCCGCAGCACGCACGAGTACGCGCGTGGAGGTCCCGCCCCGGAACTGCGGTCTCTGCTGCGGCTGAGGTACGGCGGTCTCTTCTGAGGCGCTTGACCCGCCACCAAGGAGCTACAGTGGCGTCTCCACAGAGTGAGTACCAAAACGAGCCGGGCTGGAGCCGACTCCGGAGAGGGGCTGAGGCCAGGAACCCGGGTTCCTAATCGCGGGTCTCTCTGGGCCGCTGGGTTCCCCGGGTCCAGAGACGGCGGCCGCGGGCCCAGGCCGTCCAACCGCGCTGCGTGCGACGGCCCCCGCGCCTTGGGCTCCTTGTCCGGGCATCTGGGCCTGACGGCCTCTGCTTCGCGGTTCTCCAGTTTCGTGCGCCCGTTCGCGCCTGAGACAAAGCGAGGGCGCCGCGCGGGACCAGCGTCACGAGGAGAGAGGCCCGTCTGCTCTGCTTAGCGCTCCCCGTGTCCTCGCCCGGTTCGCGTGGCACCCCCCGCCCTCTCCTCATTGAACCGCGCGTGTTTCTTGCCGTGGCGCAGCGGGTCCGGCGGTCACTGTGAGCGAACGCGCTCTCCTCGCCAGGCGCCATGCTTAGCGGTTTTTGATGTGCGTCACTTTTTCATAGTGGCGTATAACGATCCTGTGGGACAAATGTCCTCGTTATCCCCATTGTGCAGACGAGGAAATAGAGACTCAGAGATTAATACGTCCACCGCACACCCACAGCTGACAAATGGTGGATCCGGATTTGAACCAAGGTTTGCCTTGGTCATTTTCACGGAATCTGTTATCTTTCTTGGCCTTTATGAAAAGGAAAACCTGGATCGAGTTCCAACCAAACAAGTTGGGCCTAAATGACCATTAAGCCACGTAAAATGTGATGAAAACGCTGGGTGGGTTTTAAAACACTTGGCAAAGGCCAGGATGGTGGAGCAGGCATTTACTTTCTCAGGCAAGGCTTGGGAAGGAAGCAAGCGCAGAATGCTTTTAATAAAGCTCACCTCTCCTGCCCCCACAATAAAATCTCCTCGGATTCTTACTCTGCCTTCAGAATGACTTATGTGTGGCAGGCTTTATCCTCCGTGCTTTACGTAATTTTCTTTATTTACATAAAATATACAACTTAGATATTGTTAGGTCCCCTCCCTCCTTTTTATAGATGGGAGCACTGAAGTTCAGATAGAAGTGGGTGGCATTATCCAAGGTCGCACACAGCAAGTGTTGGATTTGGAATTCAAACCAGGTCTAGCTTATCTGTCTTTGTGTACCCTATGTTCCAGGCAAAGCTGCCTGTACTGTGGTATTTCCTTCTTTGTTCTTCTCTAGGTGGGAGCATCTTTGTATCCTCAGTTCTTTGTAGGGCGTAGTTGCTTAGAAAATATTTGTTGCAGAGACCAATGTAATAGAACACTTATCTCCTTTTCAGCAACCATGAAGTTGAAAGACACAAAATCAAGGCCAAAGCTATCAAGTTATGGCAAATTTCAGACAAAGGGAATCAAAGTTGTGGGAAAATGGAAGGAAGTGAAGATTGACCCAAATATGTTTGCAGATGGACAGATGGATGATTTAGTGTGCTTTGAGGAATTGACAGATTACCAGTTGGTCTCCCCTGCCAAGAATCCCTCCAGTCTCTTCTTAAAGGAGGCACCCAAGAGAAAGGCACAAGCTGTTTCAGAAGAAGAGGAGGAGGGAGAGTCTAGCTCACCAAAGAAAAAGATGAAGTTGAAGAAAAGTAAAATTGTAGCAACTGAAGGAACCAGTACCCAGAAAGAGCTTGAAGTCAAAGATTCTGAGCCGGAGACCCAGGAAGAAGAGGGCATGGTTTGTCATGATCCAGAGGTTGGGGAGATGACATCAGGAAACCTGGTCCAAACTGCTCCAAAAAAGAAAAAGAAAGGGAGAAAAGGGATGGAGCCTTTTCAGAGCATTGCTGTTAAGGTGCCCAGAAAAGCGAAGACATGGATTCCCGAAGTTCATGATCAGAAGGCAGATGTGTCAGCTTGGAAGGACCTGTTTGTCCCCAGGCCGGTTCTCCGAGCACTCAGCTTTCTAGGCTTCTCTGCTCCCACACCAATCCAAGCCCTGACCTTAGCACCTGCCATCCGTGACAAACTGGACATCCTTGGAGCTGCTGAGACAGGTAAGGGCAGCTTTGGCCAGGGCAGGATTGCTTCTGGATTGAGCCCATAGCTGCTAGTAGGCTAGATAACTGGGAGAGAGACCAATGTTGAGAACATAGCCACAAAAGCAATGCTGAATGAAGCTGTTTAGAAGTCAGCCAGCTCTGGTTTGAAATAGGCTCTTCCTGAATGGTACCCTAGCCAGATCATTTTTATCTTTCTCAGCCCTATAGACCCCATTATCAACCAAATGGAGATAACAGTACCTACGTCTTGCATTGCTGTGAGGGTTAAATGCTACAGTAAACTAAAGCTTACACAGTACATTTTAAGTGGTCTGCAAGTGGTAGTTTTTCCTGTTCTTGAGCCTTTTCTAAATGGCTCGAAAGGGTAAAGGGCTAAGATCAGCCCTCTGGAGAGGTAGATCTTCATGAGTATAAGGAAGAACTGTCTAATTCTCAGGAGTCATCCAAAGGTAAAAAAGGGTTGCTGCTTTGGGAGTTGGTGAGTTTCTTGTCATTGGAAGGATTTGAGTGTGGTGGATAGTCATTGGGTGGATTTTGTAAATAGATTCAGCTGTGAAGTGACTGTTAGGACTAGGCTGTGTTCCTGCAAGACTTTTGGAAGTAATGACAGGTTGACTTTGCTGGATAGACTAGACTACTGACTTAGGGGAGGAACTAGTACTGCCTGGAACTATTAGTCTGTTTAGACCAGCAGTGTCCATTAGAAATACATATAGTCATCTCTTGATACCCATAGAGGATTGGTTCCAGGACGTCCCTTGGATACCAAAGTACAGGGATGCTCAAGTCTCTGATATAAAATGGTATAGTGCTTCCTTATGAGCTATGCATATCCTCCTGTGTATTTTAAATCATCTCTAGATTACTTATAATAACTCATACAATGTAAATCTTATGTGAATTGTTATACTGTATTGTTTGGGGAATAATGACAAGAAAAGTCTTTACAGTGTTTAGTACAGATGCAGTTTTTTTCCCCCAAATATTGTCTATCCACATTTGGTTGTATCCATAGATGCAGAATCCACGGTTATAGAAGGGTGACTGTATAATGTGAAATACATATGTAATTTAAAATTTACTAGGAGCCACATTTTTTTAAAGTTAAAAAAAAATTCGTGAAATATTTTACTTCTTTTTTTCCTAAGTTTTCAAAACAGGTATGTTTTAAATTTGCAGCACATGTCAGTTTCGAGTGACTACATTTTAAGTGTTGAGTAGACACGTGCTTTGGGTGTCTGGAACAGGGGTCAGGAAACAGGATGAGGTTCTGTGACAGTCATATACAGTAGATGGAAGAGTGAGGAAACTACAGGAAAGGGGAATGGAGATAATAACTTAGAACATTTGCTGAGCATTTAAAATGTGTCGTGTACTATGTTAAGTGCTTTATGTTGATGAAATCAGTTCTCACAACCACCCTGAGGTAAGTACCATTATTCCCATTTTGCAGATGAGAAAACTCAACCTCACACAGCATAGACAGCTTCCCTATAATTACACAGCTGAAGATGCTAGTGTCTGGATTCTAGGCTAGTTCTGTGTATTGTTAAGCATTCTGCTACACTGCTTTGTTGTGTGCAGAGTCCTTGAAGTAGGTCCCTGGAAGGCAAAAACAAGTTTTATATGAGCCATGTGGCCAGAGATTGACATTTGGATTTATACCACAGCTCCTGTCAGGCTTTCCTTGTGAGATAATGTGAATCTACAAGTCCGGAATTTGAAACGACTTGGATAAGCCATGCATTTGGGTCCGTAAACAGACCACTGCCCATGCAATAATGAATAGACCCTTAAACAATGCATGCAGTCGAAAATCCATGTATAATTTTGAACACCCCCCCAAAACTTAAATACTAATAGCCTGTTATTGACTGGATACCTTACAGATAACATAAGCAGTCAGCACATATTTTGTATTATATACTTTATTCTTACAGTAACATAAACTAGAGGAAAGAAAATGTTATTAAGAAAATCGTAAGGAACAGAAAATGTATTTACTATTCATTAAATGGAAGTGGATCATCATAAAGGTGTTCATCCGCATCTTCACTTTGATTAGGCTGAGTAGAAAGAGGAGGGCTTGGTCTTGCTGTCTCAGGGGTGGCTGAGGTGTAAGAAATTCTGTGTATAAGTGGACCCTTACATTCAAATTTGTGTTCAAGGGTCAGCTGTATATCTATTACCCTCAAAAAGATGCCACAGGTGTTTTTGTAATCCCTCCCTCCCTTCCTCTATCCTTCTTCCTCCCTGGGCAACCACTGATAGGCTTTCTATCACTATAGATTAATTTGCATTTTCTAGAATTTTACATAATGAAGTCATACAACATGTACTTTGGGGAGAGGTATCTGGGTCTTTGACTTAGCATAATTTGAAATTAAGCCATGTTATTACAATTACTAATAGTTCCTTTTTAGTGAGGAATAGTATTCCAGTATGTGGATAGAGCAGTTTGTTCATCATCTATTGATGGACATTTTTGCTTTTTCTTGTTTTTGGCTATTACAAATTTAGTTATTACAAGTACTGTTGTACCAGTCTTTGTATGGCTATATGCTTTCCTTTCTATTGGATAAATACCTAGCTGTGGAATGGCTAGGTCTTGTGGCAAATGGAACTTTTTTTAAAGAGTTTTCCAAAGTGATTATACCATTTTACATTGTCACTGGGTGGTGTAAGTTCAAGTTGGTCCATATTCTTGTCAATAGCTAGGTATGCTCAGTCTTTAATTTTATTTTAGACTTTTAAATTTTTAGTATTATTTCCTTGTCATTTGAATTTGCAATTCCCTAATGACTA